TAAGATGTGACAGATTGTAATAGATCTCAATTAAGAATTTCAGCAAAAAAAAAAAAAAAAAAAAAGAAGAACGCTGCGTTCAAATCTTGATGTTAAGACTGGTCTAATTGTATAGCCAGGAATGGCGAATGCAAACGAACGATGAGCTGCAGGAGCTATCTCGAGATGCCGACGTGAGAATAATAAGGATTAGTAGATTGAAACGTGCTGGATACCTGGAAATCATATATTGAGGAATTTATTAGAGAAGCGAATTCACGCTAGGCGGTTAGGCAGACTAAAACTTAGATGGGCCGATGGAATGTAAGCAGATGTCCGAGCTATCCTTGGAGTCCTTGACTGGAAGACATCTGCACTTCTCAGGAATGACTGGAAGTTGAAGCTGCAGGAGGCTCCGACTTTACACAATTTCTAGAGCCATAGAAGAAAACGAAAAATCAATAAACTGTGCTTAATCCACAATACGAAATCCCGTAAGATGGAGTAACTTTGGGACAGCGGATAAAATTTAATTTGTGATGATTCCAAAATACACTATGTTTGTTCAGTCTGAAAAAACGTGCTTTGTGTAGGCATGTATTGTGCTACTACCTTGCGGCAGTTTGAGAACCCTTGTTCACTACACTCGTTGTGCAGTTGATTTTTATTTATTTGTATTGTTTTTTTTTTAAATTCTTGTTTTCAAGAAACTTTCGCTTGTGCCTCAAGAGTAGTATGTCGCAAGATAGTAGCACAATACATGTCTACACAAAGCACGTTTTGCAAACTGAACCGTTCATCCTCCACGGCATCACCTCAAACTACATTTTACCCGCTATTAAAAAGTTACCCACTCAGTCCCAAAGTTACCCGGTCTTCCGGTAAGGGTATAAAGAAACATTAATAATGATAGTGATTAGAAAAGGAACAATTAATATTAGAATCTTCTAATTGAAACAAGAAATTTCTAATTCACCCATTCATTTTCAATCGACTTTATTTTTCTCCCCTTCCTCGGCTTTTAGGATTCCATGGCCAGAGGCGAGGATGGGAGATTAATGCTAGAGTTAAAAGTTCCACCCCGGCACTGAAATTAGAACTCGTAATCTTCGGTTTATGAAGTTGTCTGGTATTGCGGATTTTACACACACGTTAGCTTGCTCGGCTATACCGCTCATGTTTTCAATCAGCACCTCTGCAGGAATAACCATACTTTCATAACTATCCTCAAAGAATTCCTAACATTCTATTCCAGAAAATACTTAGAAAATCCTAGTTTTCTTTCTTTTTTAAACGGTTGCTTGATGCACGGATGGCTTTCTGCTGAGCTAAGAGTAAGACCGAAGAGGCTTATGAATTACTTCGTCTTAGAATTTTCCAGCGACTCTCATTTTGTCTGTTGTTATATTTAGTTGAAGTGGCTTTATTCTGATTTGCGGCGGAAAAAACCATCTAATTATTTTTCTCTACCAGCTTCTTAGAACCAAAAAACTTCTCAACATCCTTGAACTTCTTATTCTACTTTCCACTATCCAGTCTCATTACCTCAATAATCCATAAAAGCTCAACCTATTGATTAATGTACCCTCTTTTATAAAACTACATCTTTCAGGGTATCATTTGTCGTTCATGAGCGACCTCCTTCTTCAATATATTACAATCTCTATTCGTCATTCTACTATCTTATATTTCTTTGAACGAAATAACTTCCTTTACCTACTTCATAATTGAACTACCGCAATAATGTAAGCAATGCTAATTTTTATAAAAATAATTTTTAGATATTGATAGGCTCAGATTTTCCATTTTGAGCATTAAAAATAGGTTTATTAAAATTAACAATTGTATTAGATAAAAATACAACTTCCATTGGCTCGACATACCATTACTGATCTCTGGCTTCCTCCAATAACTACCGCCGGTCTGCACGCTGTTGGGCAGCAGTACTTCAGTCCCTGACCCCCAGGATCGTCCGAGCGTCTTCTGCTACGTCATCCATCCATCTAAGACGCAGTCTTCCTCTACGTCTGGTATTATGAATGGCCTTGCTCATTATTTTTCTGGGTATCTCATTCTCTGATATTCATGAACGAATGAAAAAAAAATTATTATTCTGAGACTAGTGTCCCTTTAGAACAAGTTACAAATACAGAATATATATTAATATTTTGGTTTGTCCATAAAATATAATTAAATATTTACAGGATGTTAGGAATACAATAAAATTATAGATAGTAAAAAGATATATAAACTTGTATAAATATAAAATAAACAGTGAAAGTAAACAAAATATCAATCAATCACAAAATAATCAAAGTATCAAAGGGTGTACTTTGAGATTATTACAGTTTAGGTTTGTAAGTGCATTTCGTGATCAATTGGATTGGGAATGGAGTAGGTGTTTGAAGAGGAGAGATTTGAAAGAGGATATTGATTTTGTTGAATATCTAAGGATAAAGAGTCCCAGAGAGAGACAACTTGGATAAAAAAAGGATTTATCAAACGTAGCAGTTCGGTGAGGAGGATGATAGAGGTCGGACGCACGGGATCTAGTGGGACGGAATTGAAAGGAACGTTTGAAATGTAGGATCCGTAGAATACAGGCGGGTCACCGAGTTCTAATGGCCTGGTATAGGAAGGTAGCAAGGAAATATTGACGGTGGTTGAACGGATAAAGCCTCTTCAACTCGGTGTAAAACTGGGTAATATGCGTATCCCTTGAGATCCCGATGATAAAGCGGATTGAGCAGTTCATTAAACGTTTAAGTTTAGCTTCGAGTTCTCCCGAGAGTCCACCATACTCCATGCAGCCATAGTCGAAGTGGGGTAAAACATGAGAGGAGACCAGGAGTTGACGGGTTTTAGATATAGTACGGCGGGAAATTTGGGAGATGTGTGGTTTCCAAGACAGGGTTTGATCGAGGGTAACGCCAAGGTTTTTAACGGTGCTATGGAAGAAGATAGGTGAGTTGTTCAGAAGAAGATTAGGTGCTAGAGAAGAGGTGCTGAATGTATTTGAGGAGTGAGGGGAATCCGATCAGGATGCTACATGACCAACCCACCATTCCAGCCTTATATGATCCACAATACCAGGTGGATCAAGGAGGTCATTATTTCTTGATTGACTTCCTGAGGTATGATTGACCGACTCTTCTAGATCCATAAATACACCGCAGAATTATTCCCTCAAAAGCAAATAAACTTCGCTCATCCATCATTACCCATGACTCCGAACCGTACGTCAGGACCAGCCTGATCAGCATCTTATACAGCTGTAGTATTGTTATCTTTGAGAAATACTTGCTCCTTAAATGTCTTTCCAGCGCAAATTAACATCGGTTAACAATGATTTTCCTCCTCTCAGTTTCCTTTGTGATGTCAAAAATTCAATTACAAATTTTAAATTGATAGATGACATGTACTTACAACATAAAGAGAAACTAACCATTAGTAGTAGTCAAATTATAATTCTATATAACAAGGTTTCGACGCCATCTTCTTCTTAGACGCCTAGGAGGATTGTCAGGTATCAAAGAAGATTCAAGGTTAGAAACAAGTGGTTTTGGATAGGATCTTAAGTGTATATGGAACATTAAGATCATTGTGGATAATATTATTTGTGACAGTACTAAGCATCGAGGATTTTGGATTGTAAGGATTGTATACGAGAAGAATTCAATGGTTTAGTATAGCCTCAAAGCTCAACTCCATAAGTCCAAATATGCCTCATTATAGTCAAATAAACAAGTAGTTTATAGTTTAAATAAATTTCTATTTAGTTGGTTATACATGATGTTTTATTAAATTGACGTAAACATGGTAAGATGCTTTTTATCAAATTATTAACATCCACCTGAAACTTCATAAATACCTTCATCTCATCGTAACCTAGAATATTTTATTTACGAAAATTCTGGAATTGAGGCGTCTTCGACCAGGGGATCGGCAAACTTTGTTTATTTAATCAGGTAGTAAACATTTGTAAATACCCATTTGCTTTTCACTTGGATGGTAAGACAATTTGATCACAAAATATATAAATAAGATGGTCTACAAAAATATTGGTCCGTTTGGCCTATATAATATCGTTATTTTGACAACTTGGGGGTTTAAGTCACGCCAAACGGCTCAATATTTTTTAAGGAAACGTTTTTCCTCGACTATGTGTTCAAATTATTTTACGATTCGAGTGGACAGCAAATGGGTATTTACGATTTTTTTCAATTCGTAATTAAATAGACAAAACTTGCCGATCTCCAGATAGAAAACCCTCCAATTCCGAGAATTGAAGTAAATAAAATATTTTTAGGTTTCGATGAGATTAAGTTATTTACGAAGTTTCAGGCGGATGTTAATAACTTGATAAAAAAGAGTCTGTAACACGGACTAAAAGGTTAATGACTTCAAACTAGGACGTGGCTTGGGGCATGTTTCTAAAGTCAGCATTTAAATCATCGATGGCATAGTTGAGACTAGTTTGATGAATGAATTGATGAGCTAGAGATGAATTTGTGCCATCAATGAATCCAGCGTGGTAAGACGAAAGATTGAAGGTCGGATAGACAATGCAGGTTGATCGTATCTTGTTTCGAATGCTGTATTTAGTATGGGAAAGTTCTTAAACTCAGCACTAATCTAATGATAACTTTCCAATGCTCAACAATGATTTCAAAGCTGTGTTTAGGAACTTGTCCACTGGTTCGTCGATTAGAATATGTTATGATCAGAATAATCTGATAGGCTTGCCGCATTTCCAAGGCTCATCAATAATCTCAGCGCTGAGTTTAAGAACTTGTTTTATGATTTTTCTCATTTTAGATGGATATTGCTCAATTGTTTTTTACTTTTTATTAGATATTTGCAAATTGATTAAGATATGCTTTTTTTAAAAAACTTGAGACTTCATGTGACATGCATTATTTTTGAATTTATAAAATAATACTTCAATTAGAAAATATTATTAAATTAACTAAACAAACTTATCTAGTAACCATGTGTTTTCCACCAGAATAATACTGATTCTTTTTTGGTTATTTAGGATATTAATGAAAATACATTGTACATGATAAATTATGATAAAACAACAGATTTTTTTTTATAATTTTCATAAAATGTTCCCTGCATTATTATTATGAAAATGAAATGACTATATTAAAAGACAATCACTTTACGTCAGTTGTTTCAATATGCTTTCACTAGATATGTATTTAGTTGACAACATTGTTCTAGAAGATCCATGCTAAAATTAGGGTATTGCAATTCTAAAGAAAATCGTCCCCCCCTCCCCTCCGTTTGATTATTCCAAAAACTAGGTTGAATTTAATGGATTATAATATTAGATCACCTTTGTAAACATTTCTAGAAGTGTTTTACTATTTTTTTTAGCTTCAGTTTGGTGCACATTGCACTCCATTTTTTCTCAATGCATAAAGTACTTGCTCGGAAAAATCTGTTTATAAAACTTCTACTAGAACCAGGTAAGATAAGTAGCATTAAATAATGTTAAAAAATTTGAACAATAAACTAAATGACTTATTATGTGTAGAAAGTAATTTGCTGTAAATTGAACGCTTATATTCCCACCATTTTTTTCTTAAAATTTACAATATGTATAGCTTTTTCTGTTGCACCATTTTAACTTCCACGATCATGCTTATTATTTCCTATATAAACATAAATAGCAAATGACTTTTTTTTTGTTTGAAGTCCTATAGTGATTGAAAATATACAATGCATTGAAAATACTGTTCTGAGGCGTTATTTAAAATAGTTTCCATTGTCTTTACAAAGTTGCTAACGATGGTTTTAAAAAATTTCTATTGTTGGATAAGTGTAAGAATATTTATATACATATATTATTTAAAACTAATTGTTTTGAAAAAAAAATATTATTTTGAAATTGTTTTTGGTTTTACCAAGTTCTGGGTTTAGATGTGGTATCATCATGGTGGCAACATTGTTCTGACCTATTACGCGTGAGTGTTGTTGAGTTTCATGTGGTGAGACTTCACGGTTTTCGATATTTAGTTAGTGATTAATGAGGATTTTATCTTACTATTAGTCAAGAACTGTAAAATAAATATTAATATGCCTAATAACAGAAGAGGTGGCCGTGATAGGAGCAATTATTACAAAGGTAACGTTCATTTTGAAGAAATTATAGCGTATAGGTTAAGTATTTTCAAGTTTGTTGTAGTATGTTCAAGTTTATTATAACTAGAATATTGTAATGTAATAACGCATTTTCGTCGTTAAATAAAAAAATAAGTTTACTCAAATCAAAATCATTAATTCTTCTTTGTCTATAATGTTTACATTTCTTTTAGCCTTCATTTTTGTTTGGAAATATTTACCTAAATATTCTATCTCAAAACACTTCATAAAAACTTTCACCTGTACTCTAACTCTATAAAAGAAGATTCCTATGAGCTATTTTATCCATGGACACTTCCTTAAAAGGGAATTAGATTAGTTTTTCCTTATTGAATATTGCATCATTGGTTTTCTTTCAAATGGTCTTATTCGGGTAATGTTTTGTTTATTTGTATAGATATGAATTCCACATTTTTCCATTTGTAGCTGAATCGTATTTTATTTGTTAGTTGATTCTTTTATAGAAAATGATGTATGATTGGACAAGCTTGATTGTGCTTAGAACTAAACAAACGTAGCAAAAACTATTACTGGTATTAATATACTACAGTATGGTGTGTTTTTGAATGTTTATTTCATACTACTGAGTAATTGCTTCTGTTTCTAATGATCATTGTTGTAATTCTCATTTAATTTGTAACTTTTCTCTTATATTTCTTTTTTTATGTATACTCTATATAATTCCTTATCTTGTCACTATGTTCAATTATCATATCCCGAATATTATTTGTACATTTTTTTATTATTTGTATTTTCTTTTATGTATGTGCCGAGATCAATATATTATGCTTATATTACTTAAATAATTAGTTTAACTTTCAATTATGGCATTACAATATTTTGTGATATTGATCTCAAATACTTACTATAATTAAAGCATTATATTGGTTATTTCAGAACAGATAGAAATTTCTATCCATACAAAATTACTATTACTTATTAAAACTCATTATTGCTGAGTTTTGGGTATTGATTTTTAATTATTATTTTATTTGTTTGTTAATATTCCATTTATAAGTAGCAAATTGTTTAAATGTTTTAATATATACGGAAACCAACTATTTACCTATGTACGTATGTACCAGTTAGCCATCTAGCAAAATGTATAATTTTGTATTTTAGTGACCTTTAAAATAAAATAGTATTATGTAACAATTAATGGCAGTTTGGATAAACCAAACTTAAAAATGATGTTTATGGATCTAGAGAAATCAAGCTTTTTATGGGGTAGTCAACAATCAACATAAAATCTATATCTTTTAACTTTTATGTTTAATATGTATCATTTATGGCCTTGAAATTTCTACAATATTAGAGTAAATATCATAACCTTGCCCAAAATACCTTTTTGAATCTGGTTCAATTTAATGGAATTAATCTCAAAATCCTTCTCTTTTTTGTGTTCACCATTTAATTCCAATGTGATGTTGCATAAGTAAGAATTAAATTTACTGCCTTTATACAGAATTTTGACATTGTTATTAGTGTTTGTACTAAGGGTATATTCTTTTGCTATTATTAGCATATTTCATAACTCAAGATAATTTTTGTTTGCCCAAATTTGCAAAATATTTATTGTACTTCATCTCTCACCGAATCCACCAATGTTTTTTTAAGTTACCTGTCCATTGCTTTTATAAGAGGCAATAGTTGGTTATCTGTAGGATATTCTAACCTGAGTGCAAGGATAAAGATTCATCGTGTGAGTCTGATACAAAATTTAAACCCTCCTGGGCCGCAATTGAGTCGACATTGTTACTGCTATTAGGATTCAATACCCACAAAATTTGAACTACGTAAATACTTTAAACATATATAATTTTATAATTGATTGGTTTTGTATATTTTTAGGAAATGAACATGACGACAGAGTACCTTCCCACAATAATGATGGAGGAAGAAGAGTTTCTTTTAAAAACCACAATTCCGGCAGAAATAAACATAATCGCCAGAGAGGATGGGATACTAAAGTCAGAGCTGCTCTTATGGATGAAGACATTGAAATGTCAGGAAATATGCGTGGAAATGAAAGATTGTAAGTACAACACTTGTGATATTTAAAATAAATTCCTCTGAATGTACATATTATAATTAATTCTACTTTCATATCACTGCTTGTTACTTCTTGTCAAATTGGAGTAGACAGATAGAAAACATAATAAGGCATGCTTTAATTTTTATTTTCCCTACTTTCCATTAGGAAATGTACATAATTTTCCTGATTCCTCATAATTAATTTCTCTTGAACTTAATAACTGATTAGAAGTGCATCCAGAAATATCTCCAAACATTATGATCTGATATTTTTGGGTTATGTTTGTCTGACTTTTAGTAATTATGGACCTCAAAGAATTTTATTTTTATTTAGCTTAGTGTCCTATAATATCTTGTACAGTAAATAATTGTAATAAATTGTATGATTTGGTGCTATATAATCGTTTTTGTTAATAATAAGTTTGTATTAAAATACTGAACGAAACTATCTAACAAGAAAAACATTACAGGCACTAAATTGTCTTATAGTATAATTAAGATGTTTTGTTATCTTTTAATATTTTTGTTTGAGATATTCAATTCATTTGAGAGCTTCATTCAATATATGTATTTAATCTTTGTTAATTATTTTAAATCCAATGCTAGTAAATTTCACGTCAATGTTGTCCAACTTAGGACTGGCGAAGTTGATAACATTCCGGGAAAATGGAGGGTTGCACGTGGGAATAGATCATAAAGTTCTTGAATATGCAGATAATATAGCTGTCTTTTGAAACAATCAAGAGGACATTGAGGAACTCGCTAAGACATATAAGCAAAGCATATCTATTTTCATATGAAAAACAATACATTATAATTAGTCCACAATTCCACCCTAATAACAGGATCTGCATAGATGTAAAATTGTTTCTGAGAGTAGACAAATTCAAATACCTCTGCTCCACAATAACCTGAATGAATTACCAGTGGTTGGAAATAATAAGCCAGTGCATTACAAGGCCAAAGAGAGCGTTCTTCTCTTTTAAAGATATTGAATCCAGAAAAATCTGAATTTAGTGGTGGTGTACAATGCTATGATAACAGTTCTGATGTACAGCTGTGAGACCTAGACACTGATCGGTACCCAAAAAGGAAGTATTGGAACTTCTAAAAGAAATTTCCACATTTGACAATATCAGTGAAAGATTAATTAGAAGCAAAAGAATATGATATTCATGAGATAGATAAAATTTTAATGGCTGGGTTTTACACACATACCTTTCCGATTTTAAAGGTTTGCTGATGTAATTCAAGCAAATGTGAATTGATAAACCCTTAGGAAGAAGAAATAATAATTTACCATGTTTGGATTAGCTGGTGTGTTCCACAAAATGAATTTGATAGAACTTGAGTGTATGGGTCCAAAGAGAGTTTAATTAAATTGAATTTAGGATGTGGGAATGCTTCAGAGAGTTAGTTCCAAATCATTAAGTCTTTTTGTGAATGAGATGCAGCTAGTTGTATATTTACATCATTCGATGCTGAGTCTTGATTGTAAAATATAAAGTATCTTATGTTTATGGCTTGCTTAGTGAATGGCCTAGGAATTGAATGTATATTACCTTTGAATTATTTTATGTTAAATATTAATAAAAGGCATAGTGAATCTTAAGATTCAATGCCGTCACCACCAATTGGTTTTACATACCTCCCTTGAAAGTTTACCAACCGGCACAGCACATATTAACCTTTTAGGAATTTTTTCATTACTGAGCTCAGCAATTTTATTTGCCATAATATGATCACCTCAATTATATTAACTAGATAATTTTCACGCAATTCAATATTGTATAACTGTTTAAATTCTCTGGTTGAGTTCTCCTTCAGTCTGAATATTGTATGCAAATATTCATTTTTATTTACTTCAAAAACCTTGAGGCATTGCTTATCCCTTAATGTAATTGCCCACTTTTCGCATCCATAAAGAACTTTATGTAGTTAGTTGGTTTTGTAAATACTAATTTTTAAGTTTCGTCACAGGAGGTGTGAGCTATGTAGTTTTGTCACAGAAAAATCTTGTGAAAAGAATTATTTTAAGTTAAATTAATTGCTATTATGAAAACATGTTGAAATTATTTCAATCATATCAAAAACATGGATTGAGTAACTTGATAATTTTATAATATTGTTCAAACTCCAATAATTTGCTTTATTTTTCTGGTGATAAAATGAGAATTTAATTTCTGGAATGATTATTTTTAATAGATACTAGGTAAAATTTTCATGGTTAAGGTATCATTTGATTGATACATTATTTTGTACCAGTTAACTTTTCTTCTTATAACAAACTTCCAAATTCAAAGTGATTTAGGCTTTTATCTAAAACAATATTTTTTTAGTGTTTAACTCCTCACAGGGCGAAGAATAATTATTGATAAGTCAGGAAAGAGTAATTTTGAGTTTAAGCCATAAAATCTTTTTTTATGATTATGGAAGTTGAACCTCTTTTGTTATGTTTATGTATTTTGATGATTGTACAATATTAGCACGTTGGCAGCGGTTACGTTCTCTGGGTTCCGATATTCGTCTCGGCCGGGATTGTTTCGAATTTTGCTTATCTTACGAAGTCTCTAAAATGGTAATTTTTAGGAATATTTGAATGGGAGTTGGATAGGTGTAAAGATAGATACAAATATAAATAATCATTATATCTGATATAAAGCTATAGGATGCCGGGGACCGTAACATAACCACAGCTGACGTGTTAAATATTCAATTTTTTATTATCCCGTGATCTCCTAATGTAGTCATATCATTAGAGTGCTACCATTGGGTAGTTACTCAGCAAGTGTATTCATGTCATTATATCAATTATGTCCAAATTTACTTGATGTATTTATGTAATACAGTTGTAAATGTCATAAAGAAACAAAAAAAAAAAAAAATTTTTTTTATTAGTGCTTTTTTATTAAAAAAATGCATGAATTTGCTTTTTCCTTTCCTTTATGTTTTATAACCCTGCAATTTATATTGTGTTTTTGATGAATTATTAAATATGTAAAAATATTGTAACATAATAATTTATGAATGAGCTATATTTTTTTGTTTTAAAATTGCTAACAGAAACTTTTGATGATCATGATTTCAATATTAATAGTTTGATGTCATAATATATTTATCTTGCCTTAATTTAATTAAGTAACGATAAGGTGCATTCTAATCTATTTTTAATTAGTGTTAAAGTAGTTTTAAATTTCAAGTTAAATTATAGATTATGATTTAAATATATTTTTTACTATTTGAAATATTTTTTACATACCACTATACAAATATCACTCGACCTTGTCCAGTGGGCCAAGATCACTTGTTCAGGTTATAAATTGGATTCTGAGATTAGCCGAGGATTGACAAAATGTTTACAGTTTAACTTCTCACATATTAATTTAGATCGTTGTTCACAACTTTTTCAAACTCCGTACTGGTTCTTCTCAGTTACAATCAACACATTAATTAGCTCTAATCAAATGCTTCATTTACTTCTAAACACACTTAGCCATTCTATTAATGATGTAATCTTGTGCCACCGATGAAGGTTGAGTCACATTTTTACCATGGTACCATTTTCTAATAAAAATATTACTGTTAGTAATGTATAATATATTGATATATATTTGAGTGGCCTCATATCAAAGGTGATGGACATCTGGCATTTTTTAAAAGTTGAGAAAAGCCTGTTGTCGTTTCATAGCTTCAGTTTAGACCGACTTGGTTGTATTTCATAATTTATCTTGAACATTATTAAATAATGAATGTTCATCAGGAACAGATTGAGTCAAACCTACAAAACAAAAATAAAGATAGCTGAGGCCTCATTTATATGAAGCCACTCATTTGAATAACTTTCTAATTATTTTAAGTGAACTATATAAAATACGAGGTCTGACAATTTTTTTTTTGTTCAACTCATCAAATTATATGTATGTAGTGGTGTTTTATGTGTGTACATACTCATCTTATTACAAATAAAAAGTTAGATCCTCTGATAATTTTCTATTTACCTAATCTTAACTGAAGCCATCATAAACACACAGGCTCTGGTGTCCGAATGTATTAATCTTAGTAACGTGAGAGTACGCTTATGTTATGTACCTCGTTTATTGGAATGATGAAGTTGTTTATTGTGAAAGGGCCTTAATGTTTTGTCTTGTCAAATGAACCTAAACTAAATTCTGACGACACTTTCCAATCTATTGGGTTGGCAAATAAGTTCTTTCGGTTTTTCAGGATGAAATAAAACTCATTATAGACATAAAATTTATTTTAATCTACAATACATTGACCATTATTTAATATGACATTTCCACTAGCTGCATAATGCCATGTTCATAGAATGTCTGGAGTTTATTGTTAAAAAAATTATCCTAGTGGTTTTTTATGTCCTGTTCCTTTTGCAATTTCTTTTTCTATTCAGGGAGTTCTGCAGATACCGGAATAAGTGATAGTCACTTGGAGCTAGGTCTGGTTAATAGGGAGGGTGAGGCAAAAGGTCCCATCCAAGGCTCAATAATTTATTGCTAGTGATAACCTAGCGTTGTCTTGGTGGAACACTACACCCTTTCGATAATTCATAACTCTTCAGGATGTTCTTCAAATTCGATGTTACTATATCCGTTAACAAGTTGAATTATTGCTCTTCAAAGCTGTACGAATATTTTATTTTTATTTAATTCCTACATAAGGAATAAATAAACAAAAACTCCTCATAGGTTTTTATTTTTTATCTTCATTTGTAGTTTGTTTACGAAGGTCCTGTTGATGTCATTTGTAGTTTATGTGGCCCTGAATTACTGCTAAATTTCTTGTAGATAGCTAAAGTCGTATTGAAGTTATAACATTTTTTGTGATTTCGAAAAAATCATGTGAGGGACCCCACAAACATTAAGTCTAGAAACATAGCTGAGCTTGTACAAATGGTTTTCTCAACTTGTGTATGACACATTTTAGACCATAGCATTCTCTCGCACTGATTGGGTGGCCTTAACATTGCTTGTTTTAATTACATGTGGACGACCAGAGCGTTGAGCATCATTGATGTCAAAATTCTCGGAATGAAATTTTGCAAACCAATTTTGACAGGTGTGTTCAGTTAAGGCATCGTCCCATAAACACTGCAAATTTTTCTATGAGCTTCTGCAGCACGCTTACCTTTTTAAAATAATGCAACAAAATATGCCAATAATGAATGATATTTTCTTCCATATTGACAGTGCAATAGCAAACACAATACTAAGCTAGTTTCAACAAGAATTAACAGATATAGTTGTTGATATATTACAAGCAGGATAAACAATTCACCTTAGGGATTAATTTATCAGATAAGAAATGTATCATAGAGACATAAAAATAAGCAGAAAAACTGAAAGGGCTTATTTGCCAACCCAATACATTGAGTAAAAATGGATATTTTTATTTACACGGAAAGTAAAAATTATGAATGATATAACACATTTCCATAACTTGTAAAAATGTAGAAAATTTATGATATGAAGTGCCACTTCTAGTTAGTTGATTTTGGCAAAAAAGTTTCTGTAACATCCCAGGCTTGCTTAAATATGTAGTTTTAGTTTTGTACAGTTTTTTTGTTTAGCTTGTTGTTGCTGTTCACGCACACATATCATTTTATGAAACTTTTTTTTTCCTTTTCTCGCCTTTTAGGGTGTATGAGGTTTTCCCTGGGCCAGAAAGAAGGGTGGGGGATTATTAATAGCACCTCAAAATGTGCATATCTGTTAATAACTTTAATTCAAATTTTTTTATGATTACAGTACTTTCTCTCTTACCTTTATATTTCATATGTAGATATATGAAAGTAAATATACCATTCTTCCATAGATTGCATGGTTCGTTACATAATATAAGCCAACAGAAAGAAAACATGTGGACAAAAGTGAACAACACGACCTAAGACAGGAGAAAATTGGACATAGTGAACACTTGCTGCATCGCTCCACTGTGTGTTGATAAACTATCCGTTTAACAATCTATGCTCTGCGCTATCTTCCCGCTGATCAATGCTTGCAATGTCGCTTCACCATGCAGTCATCCTAAGAAACATTAGATTATCCGTGTTCTAAGATAACAGGAAAATATTTGGGAGTTTTTAGAAATTCCCAAAGTTGTTTGTTATACCTCGTATTTTTAACAATAGCATTAGAGCCACCACATACATTCCTTTGTTTGTTTCAAAGCAAGATGATTTGTTTTTAATGTAAAATTTCAGGATTTTTTAAATTATACATGTATGTGTTGGACCTAAATTACTTTACTCGGTTTCTTTTATTTTCTTGTTTTAAGATAATTATTTTTCTGATAATATTACATCTATTGCCTTTTATTTAATATTTGATGTATACTTTCTAGTTACCCTGGTCGAGATTTACTAAGGGTTACTGAAAGATTTTCATTTGCGAGGAATGTATTGAAGAACATTAAGTGAGTTAACGAAGTGGAATTGATTTGTTTTATTTAAATTACATGATTAAATCTATACATTTATTAACACTGCATTTTTTTTTTTATAACTTATAGCGAAAGTTTTAGTTTAAAAACACTTTTAAATTCCTAAATTAAGAGATTGATGTTATTTTTTCCTGTTTTATATATATATATATATATATATATATATATATAAATTGTTATTGGTTTAATTGCACGCGACCAACTAGATAAATCGTAAGAATATCGTTTACTGAATAGTAAGATTAATACTTTTTATATAATTGTTCATTTATAAACAATGAAATCATGCTATTTAATCATTAAACAAAAATCAAGAACGCAGCAGTTTCAGCTTAAAACCTTCACAATGTTTTCTTTTCCGAAATGGAATCACGACTAAACCAGCAGTCTGCTATAGTTCTTGTGTCTTGGCAGTATTGTAAGTCTGTCGACAGGGTATCCAGCAGCCTTGAATTCCTTTAAGATCTGGATAACCTGCGGGAAACTATTTTATACTTGTCCTACAACCTCTAATGAATTCCATATTCCAGTTTGAATAATGAGTATTCCAGATACCTCCTACACACTTGCCAAAAATAGACATGATTATAATATTTGCTTGAATGTAGTCTTGGAAACATTGTGAAAAAAGAAAAACCTATCTTTATCAAAGATATTAAAGTTATCTAAAGAGAATCTTAGTCAAATATACTGCACAACTATTTCATAAGTATTTTTTGTTTAATTATTGTCAAACCACTCTATTATTTCATTATTCTACCGTTATTATTATTATCATTATCAAATAGCATTTGCTAACAAGTCCAAAATTTAGTTATCCATGTTGCTGCTTTATCACAGGATAAGGTTTATAGGAAATAAGGTAAGGTTTGGAAAAATTCATAAAAAATAATTTCGAAATGCCAAAAATAAAAATTGTTCTCTGAATAACTCAAAAACAATATACTTCCTCTAAGTATAGCTGCTTCTTTGAATGAAAGTCTAATTATCTGCATATTAAAGAAACATTATTTAAATCCAACCGGTAATATCAAGGGTCAGGGGTACAGCATATTATATTAGTTACCGTTCTGCAGATACATACCCATGTATTTAAACGTATACTCACATTCGGTACCCAGCATTGATTACAAAAAATTAAGTTATTGGAAGTTACACGATCATTTTTTAGGCTTTACAATTTCTGAAATACTTTCACAACCCACAAAACATTAAATTACAACTTCTCTCGACAAGAACAGCCCTGATGTACACTTTCTTCTATGCATGATGATTGTACTGATGCTCTATAAATCCCTCACAACGTTCCAACAGTAATCTGCGAGCATTGAAGTATCCCACCTATCTTGATATATCTTGGTGAAATAGCTCACCATGTTCGTCATTTACAGATCCACAGTTTTTGGGAAAGAAGTCCAAATGAGAGTGAAGAAAGTGAATCTTGAGTGACATGTTACAACCGAGATCTCTGTACTCAAGGAGGGTTTGGACTAAGACAGCATAGTTTTTCTGTTTTGTTACCCAAGAAACCATTAAAGCTGTAAATGCTTCCCACGCTGCTCTTTCTTTACCCTGAAGAATATTAAAAAATTCCCCATCATTAAGATGCTCACGGATTTGTGGTCGAACAAATACACCCTCTTTAATCTTAGCTTCACTTAAGCGAAGAAATTTTCCTCTCAAGTACTTTAATGCCTCTCCTGATTAGTCCATTCCTTTGATAAAATTTTTCATGAGCCCTAACTTTATATGTAGTGGAGGAAAAGTGAATTTTTCTTGACCCTCAAGAGGGTTGTAGAGGATATTTTTTTGTCCAGAGATCAGGACTTCTCTTTAGGGCCATTCATTCCTGATCTAATGAGATGCTCTGTCGGGACTGTCCCACTTACATAAAAAACAACAGTACTTAGTATATCCCTGTTGCATGCCTGAAAGAATTGCCACCACTTTCAGGTCCTCTCAGATTTGCCACTGGCAGTCCTGGTATTTTATGGGTTTTATAAGGGTTTCCATGTTTTGGTGAGTTTCCTTCATGTGGGCAGCATCACCAATAGGAATAGAGAGAAGTAAATTGCCATTGTGCAACAGAACTGATTTGAGGGATAGTTTTAATGATCTATGAACAGCCTCCATTTTAGAAGGGTTGTTATTGAGATTAATGCTGTCATCAGATTTGGGACATTACAACAGGCAACAAGGTTCTCAAAAAGGAGATCAAGTCTTTCTGACGATTTCTGTACATAGTAATCTAAACACCAGTTTGTAAGTATAGTTCCATTGCCTCAATATTGAACCCAAAAGTTCTTCTATCTCTTTGGCAGATCCACGTCCTGAATCAAGTCACTGAGTTCAGCTTGAGTAGGCAAGTGGGGTTTTCGTTCTTCTTGTTTGAAAGAAAAATTATAATCGTCTTATGGGCTTCCTCCTTGGGGATTTTCCTCTTCTTTATCTTCGTCCTCATTGAAGTCATAGTGTTTAGGAGGCCTTAGAACAAGCAATTTGTTCCCGTGTGGTATCGGCCATTTAGCAGAAGTAATGTCAGAGTACTTCACTTCAGATTTTTTTTTTTCCTCGAAACATTCCATGATGAAGAGGAGGGGTCATGCAAAAGTAGCAGTTGTCATTGTGATGAGTAGGCTTCCTGCACACCATGGGAACAACAAAACACGTTGAGTGACCTTTCTTGTTCAACCATTATCTTAAGATTACGCTACATGTGATGCAGCAGATGTGCGGGGCCCATAGTTTATCTTGGTCACCAACCTTCACCCCAAAATACTTGTAGTATGCTGTCTTGATCATCTGGGTGATAGGAGTTGCAAAGGTTACTTGTCCACAAATGTAAAAAAAGTTGGCAGAAGCTTTCACACACTTCTTGGGCATTCTAATTTCACCAAAATTACTGCGTTGTCGAAATTGTCGAAAGAATGCCTGAAGCAAGAAAAATTATGTGAAGAGTAACTGGAAATGAAAATACTGCTCACAACTTTCAGCAAAATGGTTCTGTGGTTCACAGCTAGTCTTTTCCCACAATTTACTGACAGAAATCAATCCTACCAACCCAGGAGCAGGAAATTTCCCTATATTACACAAAAAGTAACTATATCTTTGAAATTAGAGCTAACTGATAATTTTTATGTGAAAATTTAAATTCTCTCACCAAAAAACATGGAATGTGTCTGTTTTCAAGTAAGATGCAATATCTATAAAATTTTTTTTATTATTTTGTAGAATTCTAGTATATATACTAAATATACATTTTTTTTTAAGAGAAAGTAGGACTCTGTTGAAAGTTTTAAGCCTTTCGAACATTAATTACTAGTGTATATTTTGAAAGCGGTAAAGCTAAATAGCATACTTCACTGTATCTTATAATTATATCTTACTAATAAGTTTGTTGGAGTTTGCATGTACGGTGTTGTTTATTAAATTGTGTTGTACGATATCATTAGTTTCTCAGTTCTATGTTGTAAACAGCTGCATGAAATATTTGAAAATAATGAATACAAAGTAATTAGATTAATATTCTAATATCTAATATTAATATAATATTGGATAAATAAAAATTATTGGTTGTTTTATAATAGATTGGTAATTTAAAGGTGTAAAAATAAATCTTTAAAAAGCCGTAGATGGACGGATTTTTTTTTTTTTTATTCGACTTGGATTCTGTGTATCTTGAAATGTAAAACCTCAAATTTTGAAAGGGACTAACTTTTTTTTGTTCATTAACAAAGATTTATTTTTGTAAATCATTAACAAAAAAAGCATAATTAATTTATTTTATGATTTATCTTCAATATACACTTATGATTTGTATATTGAAAAAAAAGTTGTTGGTTATTTTATTTGATGTGTCGTCTTGAATACTCCTGTTCTAGATTTGTTGGCCAAAGTATTTCTTCATTGAGATTTTTCTTGTATATTTCTATATTTTTCCAAGACTTTTGGGCTTAATGCATAAGTCATCAAAAGTTGTTGGGTATTTTATTTGATGTGTCGTCTTGAATACTCCTGTTCTAGATTTGTTGGCCGAAGTATTTCTTCATTGAGATTTTTCTTGTATATTTCTATATTTTTCCAAGACTTTTGGGCTTAATGCATAAGTCATCAAAAGTTGTTGGGTATTTTATTTGATGTGTCGTCTTGAATACTCCTGTTCTAGATTTGTTGGCCGAAGTATTTCTTCATTGAGATTTTTCTTGTATATTTCTATATTTTTCCAAGACTTTTGGGCTTAATGCATAAGTCATCAAAAGTTGTTGGGTATTTTATTTGATGTGTCGTCTTGAATACTCCTGTTCTAGATTTGTTGGCCAAAGTATTTCTTCATTGAGATTTTTCTTGTATATTTCTATATTTTTCCAAGACTTTTGGGCTTAATGCATAAGTCATCGAAATATTCAACTCGATGTCCTGTTGATTTCATAATTGTAGACAGTTGCAGTATATCTCACTACTGTCCAAAGAGAAATTAGATGTAAGTGGTTAATAAAACGTCCCTTGTTATGGCAATGCTGCAGGATTGTTTGTCTAGGTGATAACTGTGGTTCCTGACAGCTTAAGGCACAATCTTAACAAAACTTATCTGTGGTTAAAATGCCAAAAATATTTTCCTAACAAAGTTCAATGTTTTTTGTGGATCCAAAAATGCATAACAGATCCTGCAAAATTTATTTTATTGACTGAAACAGGAAACTATGCAGTATATTAGGGAACGTTTTTCATTTCCAGAACTACTGTAAGCAAAAAACCGCTAGGCCGATATCTCCCAAATTTCACAGTATTGTTTTCCTCACAGTATTGTATTCCACACATGACCAAAAAATCCTTCCTAAATTAGAAACCAGGAAAAAGCCTGAAAGCTGAGGAAGAAAAAGGTCAAGAAAATTGAGGATACATGGCAAGAAAATTTCCAATTTTTTATTTTTTTTATTCTCGGGGCATAGTCCACCAAGAATTTGTCTGTGCATACCAGACCGTCTATGAAAACTTTTGTTTTAACATTCTCAGATGCCTCAAAGCTCCTGTGGCTCATGTTTGCTCACATTTAACCTCTAAGGTATACTTGACTTTTTTGCTTCCAATTCGATTACTGCCATGTAATTTTCTTTTGATGAAAATTCCTCTTTATAAACTGATTTGGTAACATTTGGCATTTCCTTGTTTGGCTAATACAAGATGGTGCTTCAGAGTAGGTATTTAGGTGAAGTGGGAACTATTAAAACATAGAACTTCCATTGGAACCTTCCAGCAGTGGAAATGAAATTGAATAGTTTTTTATGTCTCAGGGAAAGTATTTTGAACAATATCAGATTACCTGATTAAATGTAAAATAATAATTTATTTCCATTTTATGGACAAACCTAGTATGTTTATGTCTATATAAACTTATATTTCAAAGGAAAAATGTTGTTACTGAAATATCAATATTTTTTTCAATTTTTGATATATTCTAGTTATTAACTGTTATAGGATTGGTCGGATAAGTGTCTTTTAAATTCTTGTTTTTTTCAATATACGTAATGCATTACTTCTCAACAGCCTTTGGTGGGCGAAATATGTGCGGTTCGCTTGTAGTATTTGCCTTAGTATTTATTTCTCTGTATTAGTTTGACAGTTCACTTGGGTTTCTAGATAAATGCATGATTGTACTCTTTTGAATCTATACTTTCCAACTGAACATATCTCTCATCATTTTCCTGTTTAGGTAGAGTACATATGTATTTTCTCTCTTATTCATTTACGATGAGTCCTAATCATGAGCATGTTCCAGCGCCTTGAAAGCTATTCTTACTTTGCCTAGAGATCTTTAGGTCTGGGTCATCAGCTTATCCAAGAACCTGTATTGTCTTGTTTATTAAGGTCCCTGTTGTCTGGATACAAGAGTCTCTAATAGTTTTTTCCAGAGAGAGTTTAAATACTAGGCAAGCTAGACTCTGTTTTTTTGACTGCCGTTTCAGTGAAAAATCCTCTCGAGAGTTTTTCATTCATCCTTATGAAGCTTATGGTGATCTATAATAGGGCAGGCTTTGACTCAATAAATGAGTCGTAATGCTATATAATTATAGATGTTATAGAATCTACACAACTATAAGTACAGATCTAATTTTTCTGATCCATTGAAAAATAAAACTCAACATCTCCCTAAATTAGTCTTTAAATGACATAACTGTTCAGATTAATTATAAATCACAAGGCTCATTCTTCTGTAGAAGCAGTTGTATATTTCAGTTCTTTACCACTAAGCAGTTTCTATTCTATACTTCAGAAAGCAGATGATTGTATTTAGTTGAAAAAAAAAAAAAATAATGGAAAATAAAATGACATCCTTTTGACACTAATCAAACATAAAAAAAAATATATTGACAACCTATTTGACGGTCTAGAAATTGTTCCAATATTTATATGGCTCCGATTTTACTTTAAAAGTGGCTTTAGGTTTAATTCGATTTAACCAAACTTTCATGTTTAATATATGCTGCTGCTTCATCCACATCCACATAGCTTATAGTCAGTAGTACAGACCCCTTTTTATCGAATTATTGACATCCTCCTGAAACTTCATAAATAGTTTCATCTCATTGTAACCTACAGCTATTTTATTTACAAAAACTTTTGTAATTGGGTCATTTTCAATCTGGAGGGGGACAAACTTTGTCTATTTAATTAGGTACTAAAAACTTTTATGTACCCATTTGTTTTTCACTTGGATCCTATGATAATTTGATCAGAAAATCAAGAAAAAAGGTGACCTACAAAAATATTGGGCCGTTTGGCCTATAAAACCTCGTTATTTTGATATATTGGTAGGTATTGATAGGCAGTAGGTCACGCCAAACTGCTCAATATTTTTGAAGGCCACTTTTTTTCTCGATTTTGTGCTCAAATTATTTTACAATTCAAATTGAAAGTAGATGGGTATTTATGATTTTTTAGTACCTAATTCAATAGACAAAGTTTGATGATATCTAGACTGAAAATGCCCCAATTTCAAGAATTTTCATAAGTAATGTAGTTGTAGGTGACGATAAGATGAAGCTATTTACGAAGTTTTAGGGACGGATATTAATAATTTGATAAAAAGGGATTTATTTGTACCACGGACTATTATGATTGAAGTTAATTTAAAACCTAACTTTCAATTCATACTGTTTCATATTACTTTGTTCAAATTAAGGACAGAACCTGATTATATCCTTTATACTCCCTTAAATATATTTCTTAAAATTATATTCAAATAATTGTTTTAAGTAACCTAATCAGTTATTAATCATTGTTAGTGTTTTTATTACATATCAGCCATAAATTATTTATTTGATGTTTTTGTAAACAAATGTAAATTTTTTCAAAGAAATTATCTTGTACGAAAAAATACTATGCGTATTTTACTGTTTCTGCTGCACGTTTTGTAAGTCTAATGTTAGGTTTAATAAAACCGTTCCAAAGTGAATCATAGAAACCTTATTCATTCATTGCCCTCTGTGATCCTTAAAATATTAAAATTTACTTTCTACTTTGGATTCCATAAACTATCATAACTCATCATATGATTTTCAAATAAGCATATTAAATTATCCTCTCATTATTCAAATATTAGTATAATATTACTTAGTTATCAATTTTTCTTTCTTTTCTTTTTTTTTAGCAATAATAGGCGCAGAAATAATCATGATGAAGGTGGTGGCGGTTGGGGAAGAAATCCTAAAGTTTTTCAAGAAAGTCCTACGCAATGGTACAAAATAAGTGTAAGTTGTTCTTTTTATTTATTTATTATAATTTAAGGTTTTCACATGTCTGTGATAAGTATTGTAAAAGCTCAGACAGAAGAGTGTGAAGTTGAAGCTTGGAAGGCTTGAGCTTACTCAACTCGTGCCAAGTTTCGATTCTTGAGAGCTCAGTGTTAAATTGTCTTACAATTACAATAAAGAAAGTGGAGCGTTAAAAAAAAATGTATTACTTTCTCCGGAATAATTATAATTCTATTGACTATCAACAAATAAAAAAGTCTGCCAAGTAAGGTCAGGATTGCTTCCTGACCATTTATTTTAATTACAACTTTATTTTATTTTATTATTATTTTTTATTATTGAAATTTACAACTGTATTAATAAATGATGAATACAACAAGTAAATATGAAATAAGTAATATGACGTCTCCAACATAAGAGAAACTACCCATTGGTAACACTCCAATTACATTTCTATATTAGAAGGTCCCGAGGCCATCTTCTTTTCAGACGCCTTGGATGGTTATCAGGAATAGAAGAGGAAGCTAGGTTGGAAACAAGAGGATTTGGAAGTTTATTATGGAAGGATAGGTACCAGAATTGAGCTAAATCGGAAACACATTAAGGTCATCATGGATGATTTTATTTGTGACAAAGTAGTAGGGAGTATTGAGGATTTTATGAAGGATTTTGGATTGTAAGGATTGGATACGAGAGGAATTTGATGGTTTAGTTGAGCCCCAAAGCTTGATCCTGTAAGCCCAAATAGTCCTTATTGTTGTAATATATATGAGTATTTTGTAAATAGTTGGAAGTTAAGAGCATTTGTATAGTAAGTGCTGCGGTAGTCAAAAACGTTGGGCGATTTCTAATCATTTCAGTCTGGATTTGTTCAATAGGAATAAGTCAACTTTATTTCAACGTCAAATACTTGTCTTTCGATAATCAAATCGATAGGAGAAGCAATTTTTTGAAGTAGTCTTATCAGAGAAAAGTGCATATCTAAACAAAAAAAGTAGGCTGTAATATCATGGGTGATTGTAGTCAGGACTTAGCTATTTTAAGATTTGAATTGCCGATGTTTCAACTGAAACTTATGGATCATCATATTACCATACCTGGGATATTACCAGCACTGAAGGTGTTCAAGTGAACATGCCCCTACTGGTCCCGCACAAGCTTGGATTGAAACGTCGGTGATCAAAATCTTTGAAAAACTGACTGGATTCTGACTATCTATCCAACCCATAGAGCAATCGGCTAACTTCCCTCAGTAGACTGTAATGTATGAATACATTTCTTTTAATACATTAATTTTTAGCGCTGATGATGACCCACTTACATGCTTAGGTAAAAATGTTGGCAACACTAATAAACAGCATTAATGATTGATTGAATATCCTGATTATTTATCATCCTTATAATTGTAACAGTAGACTGTATCTCCTTCTCTAAAATATATTTGTGTGTTACAAGTGTGATTTTTTTTCTTTCATTGTTTATAAATATTTACTTTGTTATAAATAATTTTTATTAACATAATAGTCCGTGGTACAGACCCCTTTTTATCGAATTATTGACATCCATCTGAAACTTAGTAAATAGTTTCATCTCATCATAACCTACAGCTATTTTGTTTACGAAAACTCTTGGAATTGAGGCATTTTCAATAGTAAGGGGAGCAAACTTAGTCTATTTAATTAGATACTAAAAACTCGTAAATACACATTTGCTTTCTACTTGGTTCATAAGATAATTTGATTACAAAATTGAGAAAAAAAGTGGCCTTCAAAAATATTGAAGTTTCAGGCAGATGTTAATAATTCGATAAAAAGGGGTCTGTTACAATGGACTTAAACATAAAATTTATATATAATTTATTAGCAAAATTTTACAAAAATGTCTTAACTACAATAATTAAAACCGTATTTTTTGTTTTTTATAAATTCATTAAGACCAACTTTTTGAGCTTTATTTTATTATTATTATTTATTTTTTTTTAAATAGCACTAACCTTATGTTGTTGTTTTTTTTCGATATAAATAATTCTTCTATTGTATATATGTTGTAGATAAGGAATGGGCACAAATACGACAAAGATTATTTGCTTAAACTGCTGGCTAGCTTCATTAAACCTTGTCCTATGGTTCCTTATTTGGTAAGTATATATATTTCTTATAATTTAAATACATTTATTTATAAACAAAGTTTGGATCTTTAAAAAAAGTAAAAAAACATAAGCTGGTGAGGCTGTACAGGACTTTTCCAGGGGGGAGGTGAGGAAAAGTTCTCCGGAACCAGTATGCGAACTCGCAATTATTTTATCATGTAAACTTAAGTTTATCGGGTTGCTTGGAAATGCGTGTTTTACACATGTGTTAGCCCCCTTGGCCACCCTCCCTCACATTTGGTATCGCATGGATAATTGTTACACTGTTGGTGGCAATAAAAGAAACTAAATTAATGTGGAACTATATTAAAATAAGAATCGCCTGTATATTTTATAAAAGAGAAAAGCTTCATGTATCAACTTTATTAAACTCCTCAGTTTTTGAAAATAAAATAAAAATAGATAAACAATCCTAATCAAACTAACAAAATCTTCTAGAATATTATATTTGTTGTTTAAAAGACTGAACAGACCTTTTTTTACACTAATCTTTCAATTTTCAACATGCATAATAAATAAATTTAGTTATAAACTATACATTTATAACATTTGTGTCCCCTGACATATTGGTCAGAGAAACTTTTATTATATAGGGAAAAGTCAGGGAATTTTACACTTAACAGTCTGGTAGCCACCTTGGTAGTTCATTCACTAAAAGCATTATTATTATTTTTTTCTTCTTAATATCTTAGTTTACATTTTCAGTTTAAAGTGTCAAGAGATGAAACTTCTTTTATTGTGGAAGACCACCGTGCTGCCCAAGAATTATCACACGCAGATAGAAAAATAACGGCTAATGATGGATGGAAGGTATGTTATGTTCTATTCTCTCTATGTAAACAGATATAATTTAAGTTATTATGTGCACCATTTTTTATGTTTATGTTTTGTAGATTGTATTAATTACCTTTATTTTTCAGCTGTTTATCAGGGTCAGACCAGTGACACCACTCGTTGAAGTAGATACTAAATTATCTACCGCAATCAAAGGTGTCATGTCTACACGCTATAATGCAGAGTTGAAGGCCCTCAATTTGTCAAAGTTCCACAGCGATGGGCGTGAGTATTACTTGATTATAAATTATTGTTAGTTCTTATTTTTCTGTTTAGAGCTTCTCTCTTTTGAGTGTTAGAAGTCGGTTGCAGCATTTTTTTTATCTGTCCAACTCTATTGTCTTTATTTGATATCAATGGCCGACCTATTTCCTTCTATTATATATATTATACTCCCAATTTCAGAATACTTGAGAATAACAAATAAATTGTTTAATATTAGTATCCCTATCAGATTTATATTAATAGTTTAATAAAAATATGTTTTATTTTTTTCCAGTGTTCTTAAACCAGGATATTTTTGTTCCCCTCAACCGACCTAACATAATGATGGCAGTTCTGGACATCATTGGCGAAATTATTCCAGACCTCATCGCTTTAGATTTATCTGATAATAAGTTAAATGTTACCGAGCATATGAAGCTAATGGTGGAAAAATGCCCGAATGTTAAAATGCTTCATTTGGGAAACAATAAGGTACGTTGATATTTAAATTAATATAAAGTATTAAGCTCAAGTTTTATAACATACAGATTTATTTATTTATAGAAGTCTCAGGTTTCATTAGTAATCAATTGATTAAGTGTTTCGTTTATATTTTATTGAATTAATTGTGGTTACTTCTTATTTCTTGCTTATTCTAGTTACGGGACATAAAGCAGTTGGACTCCCTAAAAGGATTGCCATTGGAAGAACTGATTTTGGACGGTAATAGCCTCTGTGATAGGTTCAATGAACAGGAAACGTACATAAGGTAACATGTTATATTGGGGAGCCTTGTAAACAAAATGGAATCTTGAATTTTCACTTCAGTTACAGACACCATAGATGGATTGTTTGTGATTGTCATTAATCCATTATTGTGGAGTCGTGGTATGAGTGAAGACCTGAGATACGTGAAGTTAACAATCTTTATTCTCCTAAAGATTGATGTTAGTGAATGACCTATGCTGTACAGTGGTATTTTTATTGATCTGATGGATTGAAGTAAAAAGGGATTTTATTGTCATGTTCCATTTAAATAAGGGATTGATCTGAAAATTAATATTTCTAATTTATTTAAAGTTCTTCTATAAATACTTTAATTCGTAAATAGTATCTTTTTTTTTTTTGTAACATGAATGAAAGAGCTCTATGAATGGTTATAATATAATGTTATAATGCCATTTGTACAATATTTTCATTCTATTTAGAAATATAATTACTATAATTTGATTTGCCTCAATGTGTTTTTAGAGTAATCCATTTCTGAGGGCCTCTGACGGGGGGCTCTCTGAGGGACCTTTAAGCCATCGTAAACAATAAAAGTTTACTGAATAACAATAGCGATATATTTAAATCAAATTAACAAGTTATTTCTGACAGTTATTAAATAAAGTTCTTTTATTGAATCATACTTCAGAATTTAGTTGATGCCTTGAAATGATTCATATATAACTTTGTCTACTGAATTCAACTATAGGTATCCCATAAGAGCGGTTACAGATTCTAGTTCCCAAAATGTATCTCAGAGTGATTGCACTGCATGTTATTAATGATAAATCAATCAATTTTTTTTTTTAATCTATGTTTTATAAGTAGTGACTTATTAATTCTCAAAAATTCTTTTTTATAACTATACAATTTTGGCAGTATAATAATTTAAAAATTATTGAAATGTAGTTTATTCCTGTGCCACTGATCCTTATTTGCTTCTTATCCACCAAAACTATCTCTCTTTGAAGTGTTATTGATCCTGGAAAAGATAAGAATATCTATGCATATAAATACTCTTTGGAATTGCAAAAATTATTTAATTTTAATCTTTTTGGAATCTATTTACATTTGAAACTGTGTTACCTAGTTTTAGCTAGCTTGAAGAATTATGCAATTTCAATTTACTACAAATATTGTCAAGTTAATTTTCTATTGTGGAAATTATTTTAAAAATCAATATATTAATTGTTTTTGAATTCAGGGGTAAGATTAATGCAGTTTTGCTTTATGGATAACTATAAAACCAGCTTTATGGCTGCATACTTAAAATTTAATATTGAATAATAAACCATAAATTTGGGGGACATCATCAAATATTCAATTTGTCCACACTTTTATATATAATGATAAACTGATAAAGGGGTTCGTTTAAATCAAAAGAGGTTTCTCTTAATGTGATAATTTTAATAATTATTTTTTTTCAGTTGCGATCTCCCCAGTATTTACTGTAATCTACCTATTGTATTGCAGTAGAGGTTGGAGGAAAAATATTCCAGAAAATGTGCTTCCATTCCATTTTTGTGTTCTATAAGCGTTTTTGTCATATTCTATTATGCTCTTGACTATCTAATTATATTTATATTATAATAGAATAGTTACGATACCAGTTTGCTTTAACCCTCCGTTAGTCGTAAGCTGTGTGATAGATTATAGAAGGCTATCGATGGATGGCACATTTTTAATATTAGCATCGCTGAATTCTTTAAATTTCTTTTCTGATAGCTATTAAACTAGTCTTTTTTAAAATATCATAGATGCGTTTAAAGTTATTCTTTATATTTCTTTAATTATATTATTTTTGTATAAGTGAAGTTACAATGCTTCAGTTGTACATAATTTTATTTTGTAACAATATAACAAGAGATCATTGCAATTAATTGTGTATTTTTTTTTTATGAAAGCAATGGGTCAACATAAGGTTTTTAGTTGATTCATTCATTCATTAATTTATCATTTTTTTGGCAGATAAGAAAGTTAATATTATATTAAACAAAAAATGAGTATGCATTTTAATCAAGGTGACCATGACTAGCGGAGGGTTGATTTTTTATATAATTGTCTCAAAGGTTATTTATACTGTTTCAAAAATATTACCTTTCACGGTGTTATAATTAAGTTAATGCTTTATATTTGTGTACTTGCAATAATCTGTTTGGCCATTTTTTCACATACAATCAAAAATCAAAATAAGTCCTGTTATTGATTAAAGGGTACTTTCCTTTTATTTTTTCAATTTTCTTCTATCTCCAATTTTTGGAATGATTTAAGAATTCTGCGGTGAAATTTTAATATTATTTTCTATTGTTGCTGTTTTAAATGAATTTTATTAAAAACAAAACAAAAAGTATATATTTCATTTTTTAAAATAGAATTGAATTTCATATATTCAAACACAAAAATAAATTAATAGTAGAAGTTTCACCTGATCAATTTTATAAAAGTTTCTAAGAGTTTTCTGAAGTTTCATTCAATTTTACATCAATAGTTTCCTTTGAGGCTAAGATTTCTTTCCATTTTGTATTTATATATATGTAAATCTGTTAATAAAATAGGAGTTTCTAATTTATAAAAGGAATATAATAATGGCAGAAATAGATCAGACAATTGGAGTTTGTTAATTGTTAAAAATGTATTTTTGATCCTAAAATCTCACGAAGAAAATATAACAATAAGAAATTTTAATTGTGTTTATTCTAAATTAGTACTCGCTTCAAGAGAAAAACATATACCAATATTGTAGAGTTGGAAGAATATAGAGAAAATAAGCATACAAAGGAAGCACACGACAAAATTTTGAAAATGCAATAAATATAATAAACACACAAAGTAGGAGTAGCAATCCCCTATTATGAAAGCATAAAAATAGTATATTAAAAAATTATTTATAATAATGAAATGGACGAAATATAAGGCTGCGGTTAATCCCGGGAGTGGTTATCAACTATTACTCAGAACTTTGTATTTACTTGGAAAACATCCTTATTGGCGATACTGTTGATATTAGTGTTATTTGTTCTGGAATTGTTATACATGCTGAAAGCACTTATTTTCAATCAACCGGGTTAATCTTAATAATTAATAATATACACATTGATAAAATGTCAAGAAATATTTTATACTAATGGCATCGGAAGAATGATAAATTTTTGGAAGCAATAATAAAAAAAAAAAAATTCATCCTACCACAAAAAAAAAAAAAAGAATATACAGCTGCATTATAATCATCTTCATTCCATTAAAGAAGGTGGATTCTTTATCTTTGACTTAAATGGTGAAACTAGTGGCTAATAAATTATTGTGTATATCTTAGGGATGTATCGACAGTACGGAGCAATTATTCTTCTGAAGAAACAGTATTATTTCTGATGCTCTCAGAAATAAATATTGTTTTCTTATCTGGAAATGAAACCCTTGGCAGAGAATATCTACTTTACGAACGTAACTGGAAATGCCCATCTCTCAGACTAATACGTCAATTTTTTACTGTAATCAATCGTTTTATCAGATTATAGGAGTCTTGTATAAATAAAATATAGCATAGATTACAACGAATAACAACAATAATAGAAATCTTCGATATACTAAATGCCCAAAGGTTACAGGATTTCATCATTGAAAAAAAAAATTTGGAACATAAGTAAATTAATAAAATATATAATAAAAATTTCAATATAAAATATATCAATGCCTATGGAACCTCAATGGATAAAACATTAAAGAAGAATAGGATGTATTAAAAAAAAAAAAAATGAAACAAGGTCAACAAACTACTTAGAGAAACAAGTAAAATGGAAATTCAGGCAATAAGAGTAATTTGGCTAAACTATAACAAAAAAAACAAAACAAGAAATATTGGATTGATGACCATCGTATTGTGAATAAGAAGACTGTAACATCTGCGTTGTCTTCTGCTACTTTGGAGGAAGAACAGTAAGAATCAAGGTTTGAATGCTCTATAGTGTTTTTATTCCAGGGACATGAAAGTCTTACCAATCTGATTCTACGTCTGCAAACGGGAAGGAGAATTCTTTTTCTTTGGATGATACAGCTGCTTTCAGATTTTTCTCCTGAAATGCTTTTTTCCTCCCAATAATAAACACTCATTACAATGATTTTTTAAAGTTAAAAAAAAAAATTATATAATTACTAAAATGAATATGTGGCTGTGAGGTGGGGAGATTTAACTTGCAAGAAATTTTGTCCGAGAGGCAAGTCAGTTTCTACGGAATGGTTTCTGCGAACACTGGACGACACCTGGAACTGTGAACTCTATCCTTGAGGAATTTAATAAACTACTGAGATTCTTCTAGTTCTTCAACAAATAATAAGGAATTTCTGCTCACTTGCAGAGAAAAGATGAAATGTTATCGCCCTGTGATATGGGTGTTTCCTGCTAAGGGTTAATGATATTATTTTTGGAGGCATTGATTATCTCGAAACATTTCAGAATTTCTGTCATAAAATATATATTATATTCCTTTTTTTTTTCTCTCTCAAATTCACATATTATTCATTGTGTAATATTTTTTGAAGATTTGAAATAAATGAAGGAAACTGTTAAATCATGCATTCATTTCTGTATCAAGAAGAATTTTTTTTTTTTTATTGAAATGGTTTCATGTTTTATTTTTCTGTAATTTCTGAATAGCTAGTATTTTTTAATCTGACTAAAATTCTTGAACTAGCTACTTATATAGCAATGAATAGCAATTTTTTCATAGATGTTTGATTTATTTAAATATACATTTTATGTATATATTATTTTTCTCTTAAAAGATGATTCACAGCAGCGTAGAGAGATAATAGAATAATTTGAACTGTGGAATTCTTTCACAAAAATAGAAAACTGTTGCATTAACTTTCTATGAATTTCAGCATATAGTAATTAATATAAATTCAAAAAGGAAGGTATCGATGCTCTTTTACTCTTTAATTTTGACAATGCTTTAAGTTTTTGTTATGCAGTTGTTGTAAGTGGTTAATATTAAATATTTAAGAGAAATTTTCAATTTGTGCCCATTTTCTTATTCATTCATTATAGTGTATTCCATTTTTATTTAGTTCACAAATATCTTGTATTATCTTTTTATAAATAGCCTTTTAAAAAAATGACTATTATAAAAACTTATTTTTTCTGGAATAACTTTAATATTATTTATTTGATCAATTTTATAAGAGAATGTTTTTAAGTAATTTATTTTACTACGAAAACTTTCATTTTAATGTATTACCAATGATACATTGTGTTGTTCTGATTTAACATTAGAAATAGTGTTTTATTTTCAGAAATATTGTGGTTGTGATCATTATTTTGAAAGTATAAAAATATTTCACTTGATTATTAATGGCAAATAATACATGTATGATTTTGGATTTTTTTTCTTTTGTTTTTATTTGTTGTGAGGTCTAATGAGATCTTTATCTAATTCAACTGGATCTTTTCGTAGGGCTGTTCGTCAGAGATTTCCTAAGGTCGTGAAATTGGTAAGTTTTTTCTTTATTACTTATTTTAACCAGATTTAAAAAAACAAATTTCTAATTATTTTTTTTAAATTCCATGTTAATGTATAGACTATTTCAGAATGTATAAAATTTTATTTATTTACTATTTATTATATAGTTTGATAATTTTCTTGTAAAAAAATATTTCATCGGTTCAATTATAACTTAATATAGTACAACTTTGTTATAATGAGGTCTGAGAAAAAAAGTGTTATAAACTGGATAATAAACAAAATCAACCATACAATGAATTTTTAAAATGAATTCACAAAATTTCTTCCTAAGAGGGTCAGTAATTATAATATATAAATACAGTAAATAAAATTTGATGAAATCTATGCTAGACTATTTGTAGACAATTCTCAACTTGAGGCCAAATTGAAAAAGCCTTATTTATATAGAAATATATAAATATTTTGAATTAAGAAAAATGTATTCGCACATTTATAAATTATAGCCAAAAGGTCTGTCTGTACTCATTAAAATAAGGTCGCTTATTTGTGTGTGATATCATCTCTGACCATGCCAACTTCTACTATTATTATTGCAATTAACTCTTTGCAGTCGTATACTGCGTAAACAAGTTATTCATTCCATTCGCGAATGTCTATCCATCGCCAGTCCTACTGGTTCTTTGACAAGTTGGAATCGGCAAACATATTTAACGCTAGAAGTCCCAATCGGCTTATCGCCGGCATCGATTTTCTGTTACCATCTTATCCTGGTTCTTTTTATCAATACCACAATATTAGATTCTCCATAAAGTTCACGCAGCTCCTCATTCTTTCTTCTTCTCCTAGTCCCATTCTCAGAAATTCCGCCACATATTCTTCTTAATATTTTTCTATCCCTGGAGTTGAGCATGCATTCTGAGTTTTTATTTAAGGTCCAAATCTCACTCCCTTACATAACCACTGGCCTTATTATGGTTTTGTAGATGATGATTTTGATTCTCTTAGTGATCTTAATTTCAATTGAGAAATAGCATCTGGCCTAAAGGCATTGCATAAATATAAAAATAATTAGCAGCATTATGACAAGGTTTTATTGTATTAGAAATGATGTATTATTTATATTAAAATAAGTTACATTGTTGCTATGTAAATAGGATGGTTTGGATCTACCGCCTCCTATACTGTTTGACGTTGAAGATGAAGGCCGTCTTCCCATGTCCAGGCCTAGTTTCTTAGCATCGGAAGAAGGTGCCATAGTTGTCCGACAGTTCATCGAACAGTATTACTTCCTCTACGATGCCGAAGGTAGTAGGGAGCCACTTCACCAAGCATACCATGATTCCGCACTGTTTTCATTGGATGCCTACGCTCCACCTGGTGAACCCTATGGGCAGTAAGTGTATTCAATCAGCTCAGATTATATTGTTAACTCTTATATAAATTGAAGTATAATTATTAACAATAAAAAAATACCTTATCTTAGAAATTAATGAAATAATTTTATATCGTTTATAAATTTCTAGGATGGGTCCTTATCTTGCTGAAAGTCGCAATTTAACAAGAGTATCTAATTTGGATAGAAGAGTAAGACTTATGAAGAAGGGAAAATTAAGCATAGTAGAAGCATTGAATCACCTACCCAGAACAAAGCATTATCCTACTACTTTCCATATCGATCTTGTTATATTTACAGTAAGTTTTTTTTTTTTTAGTTTTTTTTTTTTTTTTATTGATTCAATGCAGTGATGATTCTAAACAGTTTACATCACTTAAAAGACTATATCATAGGCTCTTGACCTTTTTGTATTCTGGACGTTTGGAAAGAAAAAGAAAAAAAAAAAATGATGTCTTATATTATAACCAGGGGTTGAAACTTTTTAGGAAAAAAGTTCTTAAAATAAAAGTTTCTTTAAGAACTCTTTTTATTAAATTTTAGATTTAATGATAAAGTTTAAGTTTTTTAAAAGTTCATTAAATGAGAAATAATCAGTTTTTTTAATTTAGAGTTATATTTTGTCTTAAATTAATTAATTACACATGATTCTTATGTGTCATCTGTTTAAGTAGGTAAAATATAAATAATTTTTAAAATAGACTTTTTAGCGAAATTGACAGAACTTATAAATATAAAATTTTAAATATAAAAGCTCTGTGAAACCTTTACTGAAAAAGTTCTAGTTCCAGAAGAACTGTAAAACTAACAACAGTAAAAGTTCCAGTGTTACCAAAACGTAAAAAAAATTTTTCCGTTTCAAGCCCTGATTATAACATATCGCATATCCAGAATGAAATGAGTACAACCCAAAAAAAAATGTAAATTTTGAGTTAATAACCTTTTAATATTCCTGGGCATTAATTTTAACATTGTAGCTTACATGCATGTTTCTAATGTTTCTGTTATATTAGCCTAGTTAGCGAAGGTATTCTTTGTTCGGTATTATACTGTAAAGCCAATCTATTAATAGTTCTATCAATAAATTTGGTTAATCTTTTACATTTGATATAATAATATACTACTATATATAAAAACTGAAAATTATTCTAGTTTCTACTAAATTGATAAGAGGTTGGTTTAAAAAAATTAAAACAATAATAATATGGAAATAATTAATCTTAATTCTAATTTAAGAAGTTGTTATGTGTGTGTTAATAAACGTACAATATATTATAGTAGTAATAAAATACTACTATAATATATAGTATATATGTTAAGTGCACTCCAGACGAGCTTCTTCATTAATCAGTATATTTATGATGAGTGTTGAATTAGAATTAATCATTAATTAGGATAATTTAATTCTGATAAATAAACAATAATAACCGCAATACAAAATATTAAACCACTTTTGTCTCTTGAGGCTGGAAGTCGCCCCGCTTTATATTATACTATTAATTAAATAACCTTATACTCAAATCCAGAAGTGCTCTTATCAAAATTGAATTGTTGGTAAAATTTTATAGCAATTGTCTAATTCAATCCAATTGATTGTAGTGGAAAGTTTAACATTTTTTTTTTTTTTTTATCTTAATTCAGCCGCAACTGATTCAACTGAATGTATGCGGATTATTTTCCGAAACAACGAAGAAAACTCCAATGAAATACTTCAACCGTGTCTTCCTTATCGTTCCGGCAGGTTCTGGATTTTGTATTATAAATGATCAACTTACTGTCCTTCTTGCTACTTCGGAACAAGTGAAGGTATGTGTCATTTTTTGTATTTTTCTTTCACATCTTGTGATTTTTTTTTTTTTTTTTTTTTTTAGGTTTATCAAATATTTAATAATTTGGTTTCTATTGTGTGCTATTTTTGTATGTGTGTGTGTGTATATATATATATATATATATATATATATATGCCTTTGATATAGTTATTGGTTAAGAATTTTTTGTTTTTAAAAATTAGTTTACAATTAAATTAGTTAGTTTATTTAGTTAGTCAAATTAGTTTCCTTTTAAGATCTTGTGACTAAGATAGTCTTATATTAATTAGTCTGGTTTGGTTGATCTGCTTTTTCTTTTCATATTTTTCTATGAGTATTTATTTCTTCATTCTCACGGTTTAGAAATACAACAAACTGAAGGCAGAAGCGGCTGCTGCTGCAGCTGCTCAACCTGAGGTTCCACCCGCCATCGTTCCAGTTCCGGAAGTAGTGCCTGTTAATGCTGCCATCCCTGTTGTGGAACCAGATCTGGCTATGAAGCAACAGATGGTTACAACGCTCTCAGCCAACAGTGGTATGAATCTCATCTGGTCCGAGAAGTAAGTATTTTCAATTTAATAATAATATAATATTAAAATAATAAGAATATATAATGGATATGGTGATGATCTATCTCTCCTTGAAAATAATCAAGAGGACATTGAGAAACTCGCTAAGACATAAGAGAGGCAGAGCAGATCTGTCTACAAATTATTGAAAACATAACAAAATATAAGATTATAAGCCGAAAATTTCATCTCAGTAACCGGATCTGTTTAAAAAGGAAATCGTTCTCAAGAGTAGACAAATTCAAATATCTCTGTTCCACGATAACCTCAATAAATGACTAAATAAATAGACCAGCGTATTACAAGCGCAAACAGAACTTTCTTCTCCCTTCCAAAGGTATTGGATTCTCAAAATCTCATATTAAGAGTACAGTTCTAATATATGACTGTGAGACTTGAGACACTGACCAGCATCCTAGAAAAAAAAAATTAAATGATTTGAGAAGAAAATCCTTTGCATGATAGCTGGAGCGATCTGAGATCAGAGTACTAACACATTAAGATGAGAGACCAATAAAGAGCTGCTTACAGAAACTGATCAATCAGTATCTCATGATATAAAGGCTTGGAGGTTAAGATGGGCGGGACATGTATCTCGGAACAATCTATGTGGAAGGCCAAAGAGCAGATGGACAGATCCAATCAACAAAGATGCAATAGACTGCATGCAGATAAATGGAAAGAAATAGCCCAAGATAGACTGAGATGGAGTAGACTTGTTAAGGTGGCAAAAGATCTAGGTCTATAGTGCCAACTGAAAAAAAAAAATAATACTAATAGCAACATTAAATATTCAGTTTGATTCACTGTAATTTTTTAAAAATTACCTGTTATTAACCTTAGCATAAAAATTAGTTTTAAATATCAAATATAAGTAAAATCATGGATATATGACAATTGAATTGTGTATAAATATAATTAAACAAGAAGATTTGTATTCCGGATGTTGAGTAGAATAACCTTAATAGTTAAAATATATAATATATGATTGTTATTAAATATTAATCACAAGTAAAGTCGTTATATCACAAATTATCTAGAAAAGTAAAAATAAATTAAGACCTCAGATTAGGTTTAGATGGGTCATTCTTATATTATTTGACCATTTAGCATTTCTGAATCTAGCAATTCAGATTAACAAATATATCAACTTTTTTAAGAAAAAAAATTGATCTCAAATATTACTACAGATGTCCTGAGGAACAAACCTGAGCTTCGTTAGTCAGTTTTCTTTTTTTAATTTTTAATTATTTTTTTAAACAATAACTGAATTAATATGAACTTTAACCTTATCTTTATTTATCTTTATTATATTAATAGCCATTAAAATATAATGGCTATTAATATAATAAAGATAAAAGTAAACTATAAATATTTCAAGTCAACATGATAAAAAAAAAAAAATAAAAAAAAAAAAAAATTTCGTTTCTCTCATCAATGTCTATAAGAAAAACAACTAATAAAATCCTCCTGTTTTCTAAATGTTTATAATAAAAATACTGATATGATCAGTTGTGGAACAATAAAAAGAAATTATATTAATTTTATAATAATAATAGTAACATTAGTTACGATTTCATACATAATTGCTGTTACTAATTTAACCAAATGTTAAAGATAGATATGAAAACTTGACATTGAATTAATACCTCGAAACTACTTATTTTGCAATTACCATCCATTATTTTAATTTACCAATGTTAAGTAAAATAGTGGTAACGATCGTTAGGCATAATTTTTGTGACATCTCTTTGATTCCTCAAGAGTACGCATGAACTTATAGCTATTTTTTTTCATGTGACAATCAAATTTTTTATAACCATTTCCGATCATATTAAATGAACATGAATAGTGTTGTTAGAAAAGCCTGTAACATTCGTAACTATGTTTTCCTCCAAATTTTTGGGACAAACCAATTTTCCTACTTTATAATCAATGTGTTTGAGACAACTAAAAAAAAGTATCTATTAAAAAAAATAAATAAAAATAAAAAAAAATCCCCATGGTTAAAAGTTTACGGATACAGATTTTGTCATCAAAGCATGAAAAACTTGGGGACAGTAATATTCGTTATGTTTCTTTACATTGACATTTAGGTATTTCTTCTTGTGGTTGTGATAGATTTATTTTAATGTCACCATTCCATTCCTTTGAAACAATAAAATAAATAATACTGTTACTTCTAAAAAACATGTGAAAAACGAATCTGAAGCCTGGGCACATCAAATGGTCAAATATTACGAAAATGACCCACATGTCTGATTTCCTTCATGTATAACACGAAGGGACGAAACATCTATGGTGATTTATTTAAATCGAGTTACTTTAAAACATTCTTACAGAAGCATAATTTAACTTACAATATAAAGTATAAAGAGAAGTAAAAAGTTCTCTGAATTTTATCTACTGTTGTTTTGTTTTTTTTCCAGATGCTTGAACGAAACTAATTGGAACTTCGAACAGGCCATGTTTGCTTTCAATAAACTGCAAAAAGCTGGCTCAATTCCGGCCGAAGCTTTTGTAAAGTGATAAACTACCATCCATCCCCCCCCCCCTCCTCCCAACCGAAATCATATCCTTTAGTGTCCTTTATTATTATTTGTACTTTTGTACTTATCCTTTCCGGTTCACCCCCATCCATTTTCTCATTGTATATATATATATATATTTTTGTCCTTTCTCATTTTGATAAACTAGTTATAGGGATTTATTGGTTGTTTTTTTTTTTTAAATTATTATATTTTACAGCACACATTTGTTTAATGTTCTTAGCACATATATATATAGGATAAACTTAATATTTCATGAAACAATTTTTTTTTTTTTACGAATACTTGGTATAAATAAGCTATTGTTTCAATTATTAACAAAATTAGTAGTTTGAGGCTGGTTTTACAGCTGAATAATGTTTTCGAATCTATTGATTTATTTTTTTATAAACATTTTAGATAAATAAGTTCCTATATAAATATTTCAGAAATTTTTCTGCTTCATTATATTTTATGTATGGATAAAGTTAAATCGTCATTTCTATATTGTAAAAAAAAAAAAAAAGAGAGAAATAATTTTGTTGTTAAAAGAAAAAAAAATCATTTGTAAATATGTTTTTCGTTAAATTATTATCGAATGGTTTTAGTGAACCTAAATATAATATAAAAGTAAATTTTGATTTTTTTTTTCAATATAGTTTCTAATGTATAATAAATAAGCAGTATCATTGATATGTGATTAAAAGTTGGTTAAAACATTATATTGGGTCATTTTGTAAATATACTGTTTGTCATTTTATTTCTTATTATTATTTTTTTTATGTATAACTGGTATTAATATCGATTGCTCATCTTGTCAATGTTTTTTTAAAAATATTATAATCATATTCCGGATAAATATTATTAAATAATTGCATTATTGATTGCATCATCTGTTATTTGCAGATTTTATAATGTTTTTTTCAGGATTATGTTTTTAGATTATTATTAGTTTAAATTGTAATGTTTTACCATCATTTTCCTGAACTGTACAAAGTTGTTGATAAGTATAGTACTACTATTTTAATTTTAAGTTAGTAATTAAAATATAGATTTAAGAAATAAAAAAAGAGAAAACAAAATTATATTCCGGATGAAATAATAATTTTAAAATTGTTCTCACTGTGATATTCTTCTTAAGTAGCTTATTTTGTTATGATAGCCATAGTCTGATATTCCATTCAGAATTGTAGAAGGTCAAGATCCTATTTGATATATTCACCATTATATCGATTCAATATATATATAGAGCATATTTTTGTTATTTAATATAAAATAGAAATTTTTTATTAAGTTTTTTTTTTTTTTTTAGACAAAGACAATAAAACAAGCAATTGGACTGAAATATTTAATTTAATTCTTTTCTTAAAACTTGATTTACTGAATGCTGATTTAATCTATTTATATCGTTTAAAATGGGGACAAATTTTCCTTTCTTAGGAATGTGGTAAGTTTTTTCGACGTCATATCTACTGCGAAAATATCATGCAAGAAGAAGTCTGAGACAAAGGTATGCCTGCAGTTTACTATTGTTAACAATATAGTAAACTAAAAGAAAGTGGGAAATTGTGCTATGTTCTAGCACATTTGAAGAAAACTACATCATCTTCCTGGAATGTGTGGAATTTCGCCGTACAAACTAATTATTAATACTCAGTTTACTGTCGTATCAAAATAGGGATTTATTTACTCGCTTAGATCCTAAGCTTGAGTAACATCTCTATGTGGGATTTATTCACTCGCTTATATCGTAAGCTTGAGTAACATCTCTATGTCAGTTAAGCTGTTTATTAATTAGTTATTAATTTAATATTTTTTTTCAGTACTTTCTCTCTTTTATTGTCTTTGTCTAAAATTTTCTGAGCTCATTTTTTTTTTTTTTTTCTGTAAGCCAGATTTATTGACTTATGTTTTATTAATATTTCAAATATTCATCAAAGGATGCTTATCTATAGTTTTTAGTACAAGTAGTGTTTCTTTTATGTTAAATTTATTTATTTATGTATTTTTTTTTTAAATGTAACGGTCCTGAATATTATTTGTTATGATAGTAATGAATAATTAATGTTGTGATAAGGTGTTCTTTTAAACCTCCATTGAATGATTTTCTGTTAAATTGGAATAAATAAAATGTTTTTATCAATTGGATTGATATTTTCCTATTAAATCAGTAATTTACTTGAATACACACAATCTTTACCATTTGTAACTTTAAAATTTGCAAAAATGAGTATTTATTAAGCAGTCCTATGAATGGATCATTCTAGAATCATGAAGGGTGAAATACGCTATTCTATAATATAATTAAAAATGCATAATAAAAAATTTTGATTTCTGAAAACAGAACGTAGTATTTTTCATTGGTACAGCTTATCAGTCTAAATATAACATCATCTCAATACTGCTTCGTTCTGACTACTTCCAAAGCACCGAAGCTGTCAGTTCAACAGTTTTTGGCCAAGTTATCATAAGGAAGAATAGTTCTGATAACTGTCACATTGCTACGTTTTATTTTATTTTTTGAAATTATTCCTGATAAAATAAATAAATCCTGAAGAATTGTTTAACATTTAAACAAAACTATAGCAAATCATCGTGTAGGATGTATGTATTTATTACATTTCAAATCTAATAAAAACAGTAATTCTTCAAAGGATTTAAATATACATTAATCCAATCAACACTAAATAATGGAAACTATTATAACCTCAAATAAATACTCTAACTTAATTCAAACATTGAAAAAACAATGTCTTTTAAAAGTTGATGTTCTGATTTACGAATAACCTAATAATAAACCATAATCTATGGTGATGGCAATGCTAGTTATCCTCTAATTAATGGATTACTTCTTTTGTTAATGTGATATAGAGTGTACCCTATTGTGATAATATAACTGGAGGAACTTCTGTCCGCCTAATGGTGAACTTTTTTTTTTTCTCTCCCTGCCTTGCCTCACAGGCAATACAGGTTGTAGCAGCAGTAGAGTATTACGCAGTATGCGTTCGCCACTGCTGGTAGTATAGGTCTATTTAATTAAAATTTTGTTAACATTATTATTTATGAGGTGTAGACTTGTGTGTGTGCGCAAACCCACAGTTTTCGTTTTCTCCATTCTTCCGTCTGAAGTCGGTCCTCGAAGCAGCTGCAGCTTGTCTTAACTTCCTTCTCTTCTGAGATTCAGATATGTAGGGCCTACATCATCTTTCCACCCGTATACGAATTCTCTATAATGTGAATAATTCTCTCTGCTCATTAGCTGGGGAAACATGCTCTCTGTCAGTGTATATATACCTGTCTCTCTCAGGAGCTTAGCTCTTAGTGCCTCATAGGCAGTGCATTCGACGACCACATGTTCGTCGTTCTCCGGAACTTAGCAATTAGGGCATAGCGGATCAATATTCTTCCCATGTTTAACGAGCTTCGCTCAAAAGCTCCCATGTCCCTTGAAGAGTTGAGAAACCCAGTAATCCGGGAGGACCCATCTTCCGTCTAATCATGACTTGACTGTGGGGAAGTGCTTTCTTAGGATAGCTCCCTTCGGAGTTGCCATCCATCGCTGGTTCCATTGATCAACTGTGTCCTCTCTGATAATTTTCCATCTTCTTGGCTCTTCTTAAATTTTCATCTTTAGATGTTCAGGTAGATCCGCCGAACCTTCTCTTTTAATTTTAAAGAGGTAATAGTCTTCTCGCTGGAGGAGATCGATAGGTGTCCCCCCTGCCAATACTTGCACTGCCTCATGAGATACCGTTCTATAGGCTCTAATTGTGAACCAACCACGATTTTACAAATAGTACTACTCATTGCTCAAATTGTATAACTTTAATTTACATGCATTCTGTAGTTCAGGTTGTATTATTTTTTATCAACATAACATATTGTGATTTTTATCAATTATAACATTATTTTTTATAAAATAAACTGAACGAAACCACCATTTAGAAAAATTTTTAATTACTTAAAAAATCTCTACTATACATCACCTATTGCCTATTTGTAACCGTAACATATATTCAACTTGTCCAATATATATTATGGTTCATATAAGCCCAACAATAATTAGAGCCTTTTTATTTCCAATATTTTCAATGTACGTTTATATTGTACTTCCTTTTCTATTCTATAATAATTATGGTCATATCATGATATAATATAATGTATGGAAATATAGTATAATAGGTATTGAAATGGAGATGCGATTGATCATTGTTCAATATGTATGATGAAAATATTCTTCAGATGAAGCTGTATTTGTATTGCCTCACAAATTCTTAGTAGATTTACATATTTTAAGAAGTTTTTTTTTACTCTTTTATCATTTTATATATACAATCACTTTTAGTCCATATTTATATCAGCAAAGAATATATACTTAAATCAAAACCAATAAAATATGTCGAGTTTTACAACTATTCAAAAAACGTAAAAAATATTCATATTTTTAATGAATCTTCTATAGAATATTATGAATATTTTCATAGAATATGTTTAGAACTTTAATATAAACAAATGAAAAATTTTTAACAGTTTTTTTGACTTAAATGAAAAATTGAATTTTTTTTAGGTAAGTTCTTAAATTATAATGATGGATTGTTGGCATGACCACATTTCAGGTATTAATCGATTCAGCACAGAGCTGCAAAAATGAATCATAAACTGTTACCTATCTCATATTGTTTATTTATTTATTTAAACCCTACCCTGCCGGTGAGGCAATATGGGTGTTATATAACATAGAGTAGCAGCGCATGCGTTACAACTCACTGCTTTATTCAGACCAATTACATATTTTCAGCTGTGCACACAGCCTGCTCTTCTTTTCAGCCGACATCTTCCACCCTCTCTGGCAGCCTTCCAGATGCAGGTCCATTTCTTCTTTCTAATGTAATGTGGTTTGGACCAACGAGCTCCTTCCACCAGTATACGAAGGCCTTGTAGTACGGGTAGTTCACTTTAGTCATTAGTTGAGGGAGATCGATCTCCTCCAGAACACCTAAAGCCCCCTCCCTCAACAACTTGGCCCTCAGTGCCTCAAAGGTGGTACAGACTAGCAAGATATGCTCGGCGGTCTCCGGTACTCTGCAACTTGGGCATAGGGGATCAAGATTCTTACCATATTCAACGAGCTTTGCTCGGAAAACCCCATACAAAAGTATGAGACTCCTAGCGACTTATATGATCTTTTAAGAAGCTACCTCCAGGACCGAAAATTGAAGATAAAAGGCAGCTTCTTTGAAGTAGATGATTCGATGGAACGAGGTTGTCCGCAGGGTTCGATTCTTGGTCCATCCCTATGGAAATTGGTCTTTGGTGAGTTGCTGGGAGTGCTTCAGGTTCTTAAGGAGTGCCCCAAGAATAGCTCAAGCAAGACCGACATGTATCAACTGTGTGAGGACAAAGGCCCATACTAAGGATAAGGCGGGTAGTCGTGATTGTCCTGTTCATTTAAATTGGTCCAACAAAATGGCGAAGAGGACTTCTTGGCGAGGAGGATCTCCATCCTCCATCTCAAGATAGCCTTTTTTTTTTTTTTTTTTTTTTTTATCTTTAAAGGAATTTTGTCCCCAAAAAGATGCTTTCCTTCCACTGTGCGGCGCACCCGATGCGAACGCATCCTGGTCAGCGCCCCAGGGCAATTGCTCCAGTTACCCCAATCTATAGCCGCCACTGGCATTACGTTTTACTCCAAAGCAGGGGTGCCCAGGTTTTATAGCGCAAGTTGCGCCATCAAAATTAATGAGCGGGGCAATGATATAAACCAAGTGGGGCTAAGAGACCAAAATTGTTTGGACAAAGATGAGTACAGGAAGGCGCTCTAAGGAATAACTGTTCTTTCGGGAAAGAAGCGCTCCAAAAAGGGTGTTGCGTGGTATGAGGAGAGAAAACGTAAGCACGCGGAGCTCATGAGGGCCATATGAAAGAAGAGAAGGAAGAGGAAGAGGAAGCATAGAAATCGTGATATTCGCGTGGTCTTTAAGGGCCTGTTCGTGAAAAAAAAAATACAAATATTACTTCATATAAAACAGCTTAAGTAATCAATTTAATTTTTTAGGGGGAGGGGTGACGTCATTGTCGAGGGACGCCGAATGTTTGTCCTGATGCTGAGTATCGAACATTCGCAACAAATTAGTGATATGTTTCCTAAACTACCGAGCACTTCATTACCACTTACTCAGTTTTTTAGACAATAAAGACCTAACTACAGAGGGAAACGATATCACAGAGAACGATTAACGTTAGTCGGAACAAACTATATTCAGAAAGAACTGCCGGTACAGCTATGCTTTCGTAGGAGAAGGGATTCATGGAACCAACCATTTTAACCTCCTTTAAAAATAATAAGCACATATAAAGCATGAAGAATTATGAGAAGAAACTACCGTTCACTTCTAACGAAGTGTCATGCACTTCTTCCAACAATTCATTATTAGGAGGACAATATACTTATATAAGTTAAAAATTTATTCAAACCAAAAGAGTTGGAAAAATATTTCTTAAACTACTCAATTCATCATATTTTTTTAAATTAAGGTTTCAGTAAGTTTGGATCCTACTATTGGAAGTGTGAAATTTCGTTGTTAATCTTGAAATTTTATTTAAATTTTTTTCCATCTTGCGTTTCAATAGATACGCCAATCTTATAACTAATGGAAATGCTCAAAAATGTTAGACTTTATCCGCCCCCCCCCGAAAAAAATGTAGCTACTCTGTTTGTAGTAGAGAACATTTCACTTGAAGTTATTACTTTAATTTTCCTCTTAGTTTTTTTTATAGATCTTTTATTTTTATTTATATAAATTCAAGAATTGTAGTTAATTAGTTGTAAATGTATTTTTGAAACTACACATATTTGTACAGTATAAGTTTAGATAACTGCCTGTGCATAATTAGTGAACAAATAGAGAATGAAAAACTGAATATTGGTCTACTTTTATTTATCAATAATGGTTATTATACTACTTAATTACTAGACAATTAATGAAAAAGCCGGTCTTACTACGATATAGCTATGCTGGTAGCATTCATTTATTTTGTGCGGAATTGTATTAAAATAAATTTTAATGTTATATTAAATTAAATTTGATGCTCATTAGAAATTTTCATTTAACACATAAGCTGAAGAAATTCGAAAGAAACTACGAAATTCATTGGCATCAATAGAAGTGAGTAGTTTTAAAGTTTCATACATCGAGAGTAAATCACTTGGGGTGCTGTCACAACAATGGCGACTGATTCTGATGTGTCTATATCACAAATTGATACACAATTTGACAGATTAAGTGTTGCTTCTGAAGAAAGCAGTGTTCGGTGTTCCATGGACCATGAAAACAACCAAGCTGATGAGGAATTTATTAGTGAATGGGGATTTCGTTTAAAAGATCTTTACAGACTTGCCTTGAGGTTTAACAAAGGTAATGGTTATTTCAATTTCCATATGAAGTTATTAAATTTGTTGTTTATTTCTTAACTGGAAAGAGCCCAATGAGAATTAATGCTCATTACATTGTCTTGATTATATATAATGTTATATCTACTCTTGTTGATAAATTTGACTTAGAATTAGAGTGATAATGTTAACAATTCTGAAATAGTTGGATTACTGTTACAGAGAAAGAAGGTAAGGCTTTAAGTTTATCCTACCAGGATAAGTTAAGGTTTGTCTCTCTGGCTAAGCAAGTGAGTGTTGGGAAATTTAATCCTGACACTTCATCTCCGTTAGGGGTCTTGGATGTAATTGGAAGAGACAGGAGGTGATTAACAATATTTTGGTTTTCTTGTTTGGAAAGTGTATTATTATGAGCTAAAATATCTGTTTTACATTGTATGGTGTTTGTTGGACCAGGCTCGCTTGGCAGTCGTTGGGAGATATGAGTACTGAAGATGCAATGATTAATTTTGTGGAATTATTAGACAGCCGTTGTAATCTATTCAGACCTTTCGTGCAGGCACATAAAGCAGATCTTGAAAATCGTAGAAAGCTTCAGTAAGTACAAATTTTCAAATATTATATTTTATTTCTTTGGTCGTATTACTTCCCAACTGTCGCACGTAATCCCTGCGGAACTGATGTGAACTAGTACCATTCTATCTGTATAGTGTAATCATGTGATGTTGTGTTCATCCATTATATTGAAATGGCATCTATGAAGTGGTACCTCTTTGGGTTCCTATTAAATGGCTCATTACTAGTTCATTATTACCACGTCCGCATCTAGTTGATAGGTGGTTCATGATCACATAGATCACAATTTCAATACAATTCTGAAGTAGTAAAGTGTTGAATACCACTTTTACTTTCACTTACCGAAAATACTTATTTCTACTAAGAAGAGGGTGATAAGTGAAAGTTGTGTGATGCGTGCAGCACAGTACCAGATTTTTATGGATGGCTTCACAAAGGAGCTAACAAATCCAGGATTAATAATTATTATATTTGGTGTTCTGCGATAGGGATAAATGAACCCTTCTTTCCCCTCTAATGGATAATTGGGTTAAGGTTTTCATCAGACATTATTTGACTCCGTAAACTTGGTTAATATAAGGATTTTATGTACAGTTTGATAGATGTGATCTTGACCCACTTGTCAACCCGTAATGATCTTGTGAACTAGTGCTAAAGGTTCTTAGCTTTGATCCATCTACAGTCATTATAATATCAACAGTTTTTCTTTGATGAGTGAACCATACTTTAAATTTGTATCATTTGTCTTCTTAATTCTTGTTTAATGCATTTGATACAGCGAATATTTTATTTTTACAGTGAAGAAGAGGAAGCTAAAATACGCGAAGAAGAAGAAAGAAGAAGAGTTGAGGAAACTATGAAAATGAGAGACGTTGAAGAAAGACAAAGGCTAGAAGAACATAAGAGACAAATTCAAGAAGCTTTAAATCAACAAACGTATGGACAGTTTAAAGCTTATGTGGAGCAACATTTTCCTGATGATCCTGTCCTGGTATGTTTAGATTTTTTTATTGATTTTTTTATATGCGTTCCGTCTTGCGTTGCCTTTTACATCAGGGCTGAGCTCCAGAGGTCGCGGTCCAGCCAATCTCCATCTTGAAGACCTTGGCCCGCCATTTCTTCCTCCACTTCACTAATCTATCTACCTCTGGGTCGTCTCCGTCTTCGCCTTCCCGGCGGTTGCTAGCCCAGAACTTGATTAGGCCATCGCTCTGTTGAAATTCGCTTTACATGGCCGTACCACCTTAGGCTTCGCTGTCAGATTCTGTTGTTGACTGACATACAAACCTCCATCCTCTTCCGAAAGACATCATTTTGAAGTCTTTCCATTCTTGTTATACATAAGCAACTTCACCAAAAGTCCATCTCCAATGTTTTAAGCTTTGAATAGAGCAGAGATGACATGGTCCATGTTTCAGCTGCGTACGTTAAGATGTGTTCGACAAGATTCTTCGTTTATTCTCCTTTAGAACCGTCTCGCTCCACAGAAACGGGTGCAGCATGCGTGTTGCTTTTCGAGCTTGTTCTGCTTTTCTCTGTACTTCAGTTTCTGATTATCCACAGGAGTCAAGGTACGATCCCAGAGAACACATCATCTCAAGATACACCTTCCTCCGTGCAAACACAACTGGTGATCCGCAAAAAAAAAAAGAGAGACCAACTGTTCATCATCGATAAAAGGTTCTATATCTCCACACTCACCATACCATTACCTTACAGACACGTGGAGGTAAATCTTGAAGAGAGTCGGTGCCATGCTACATCCTTGCTTCATACCCTTAGTTTCCGAGAAAGGCTCCGATAGTCGCTTTCTAATCTTTACGCGATAGATGTCATCTCGGTGTAGGTGTCTCACAGGTGATATTAAGTTGTCATTGATGCCTGCCTCTCTCAACCCTGTCCACATTCTGTTCCTTGGGATGCTGTTGAAGGTCTACAAAGGCTAAATGCAGCTCCTGGTTCATCTCCCGGGATTTTTTGATGAGTTGTCTAAGAATGAAGATGTTGTCATTGCAAGAGCGCCCCGCTGTGAAACCTGCGTGTTCTTCTAGAATAAAGAAAGCATCCTCTAATTTATCTCAGAGCAGCCTTCCAATGACTCAACTCACCGAACTCTGCACCCAGATGTTCCTGTAGTTTTGCCTTATCTTCCTGTCACGTTTCTTGAATATAGGTGATATAAAGCCCATCAGGAGATCGTCAGGTATCCTATCTCCTCTCAATATCATTTTAATCATATCGAGAAGTACGCTTATCATATTATCACCCCCACACTTCAGCAGTTTCACCGAAATCCCACCTGGTCCAGAGACCTTTCCATTTTTAGAGCTATTCAGAGCCTGTAATAATTCTTCCTTGGTCACCTGATAGCTCTCTTCTGCCATAAACTGGGTGCGGCTCTCTTTAAGGAGATCTTCAAAATGTGTCTTTCACTCTTCCTCGCTGATTGGTGAGAGAATATTTCCTTCTCTAGGTGCCCGTAGCTTCTTTAAAATATCCCAGGATTCTTTGACTGTTGTATCCCAGTGTGCTATCTATGCATCGGCAGCACCTTTCCAATGACGCATTTTTCTCGCGTACCACAAGGCTCTTAACTTCCTTATTTAATCTTCTATAGACAACTCAATCTTCGTTAGTTTTTGAGGATAGGTATCTCTGGTATGCCATTTTCTTCTGATCTATACACTTTGGCACCTCATCTGACCACCAGTCCGATTAGGGCTTCCTTCCTTCATACCGAAGGCCTCACCCGCTCCTGCGTATATCCATTCCTTCAGGTGTGCGTACCTTTCTGAGGAACTCGCCCCCACATTGACGTCGATCTTTGCTTCTAGTCGTCTTTTGTACAGATCCCGTATGCTTGGGTCTCCCAGTAAATTTAGCCGATAGTGAGGAATTTATGCTGCCTCTGTCGTTATTTCACCTCCACGATTGAAGGAAAGTAAATCTTGGAACAGTTCCGTATCCCCAGCCTCTGAACATACATACATCTTCCACCTTTAGAATGTTTTGTTGTTTGGATATAATGTAATCCAATATCGATGACTGGAATCCTGGTTTATTCCATGTGTCTTGGTGGATTCATTTGTGTTTAAAGAAGGTGTTTTAAATCGTGAGATTGAACAATTCACATATATGAAGTAGTAGTCTTCTATTTTTGGTGACTGTCTCCTCTCCAGAGCGTCCAACTACTTGCCTTCCAATCTCACATCCAATGTTCATATATGTCTTCCTCTAATTTACCTTTAATATGCTTTATTTTCAATAATTAATTATCTCACATTTTTAAGAGTTTCGAAAAAATGCTAAATATAACTTTCGAAAGAATTTGATAATTGAATAAAGTAGAAAAAAAAAATGCTTATCCAGGCTGAAAATGAATCTCTGGAAATACTAGTTAGAAGGTATACGTATATCATTAGAAAGCGGAGAATTAAAAAAATCTAATGTAGAAAATTGTACAAGGTAACGAAGAGTGGTGAAAAAAATATAAGTAATAATTTCTGAAAACTAACGTTATTTAACATAAATCATAAATCACATGTTTTGAAGGAAATTAAATGAAATTTTCTTAATAAATGTGAACTTTTAATGTTTTTTTTTTTCAAGTTTGAAAAAGTATTTAAAATCCACGGATTCAAGGCAATGACACTGTTTAAGATACTATTTCATTGTACTTGTGTGAAAGAAGAAGTGAAATATGAAAATATTTCATTGATATGTTTATAACCTTATATATATTTACTGTAGTTTAGTAACTCTAGATGTGATATTATATTTAAATAATTAGGTATCTATTGTCCATTTATTCTGAAAAATCATCATGTATCCTTTTAGAAAATTAAATTAGTGAATAATTTGATGAACTTTCGCTTTGTGATATTTAAATAGTATAATCAACCGGAGATATAATAAATAAGACTTTTGTTATTGCTTCCTCATTACCGAAGGTAGGGAAGCATTTTTTAATGGTACTTATGATTTGTTAGCTGAAAGCTTTAGCTTGGTTAAAAATGCAATTCAAAAATTTTATAATAGCCCAACATGGCCACAAAATAATTTTTATTCAAATTTGAGCGTTAAGTGAAAGTTGCGTGTTGCGTGCATCAGATTTTTTCCACTAGAATCTTACTGTTTGGTTGTGTTATTTGTCATCTTGTATTAAGGAATTATCTGCCTAATCTATAGCGAAGACCACCTTATTTTAAATATCATAGTATAGTTTTTCAGTTTTCTTTTTAAAAAGTGGGAACGTTATGAACTTTTTAACATCTCCAACCTTCATACTGGATTCCACGGTATCCAAAGAAAACATTTCTTAATCCTACAGAAATCAGAATAAGAGATATGTTATCTTGAAGATTTCTATGTCTCGTACATTCAATATTTTTCTATAGAACAATATTACCACCCAGAGGAGGCTCAATTTCTTTCCCATCTTGGATTTATTACCAATTAATTTGATAACTATCTTTTATGTCTTATAATAAATTATTATCAATTTTCTTTTTAGCAAGAAAAACTTTTAAAACAACTTCAAGAAGAACATTACAATCAATATATGGAGCAGTTAGCGGCTGAAAGGAAGGTTGAAGATGCAGCGTTGCAAACTCCCCCAGTCGTATCTAATGGAACTATAGTTCACACCCAAGATACCTATATAGGGGACGAACAACCATTACTTTCTTACCCAGATTCTCAGCATTATCAATCTGACAATGACGGTATGTTATCTGTTATTTCTATTCATTGAAAAATGTATTTTTTTTTCATATTTTAGCTTAAGTTAACTAGATGGCCCGTACGAAAAATTCGCAGATAATTTTAGTGAAGAAACATTAAAACAATATGGTAATAAGTAGTTCAGATGTATTATGTAAGGAAGGAATTAATATTTTTTCCTTAGTCGATTACAATATTCCATTAAACATAATAGACCAGAATATTTATACAAATTGCTTTGCTAGGACTTATTTTTAAACGCTGACTGGTGGAAAAATAATAAAAGTAATAAAGACAAAATAATGCCCCGATCATAGGATATTCTAATTATCATGGGTACAATCAAGAGAAAAATGCATACTTTTTGAGTTATTCGCAAATAAAGTTTCTTTTCCTCCATAACTTTTTTTCCAGAAATTTCGGGGGAATAGGACTATTTTTCGCCTGAGAAGGAGCAGAATATCTTCAAAATGAGTGGTCAATCATTGGATTTGATGAAGAATTGACCAAGTTATGGTGTACCGACAAAAAAACATGTTTTAGAAATAATATATAGGATATTTATTAATAGTAACTGATAATTGGTTTAAATCTTTGGCTGAAGCCGTTGTGGCTCAGTGTTTGCATGTAAGGGTTGTGTATTCATTTAAAGGAAATCGTTCTCATAAGAAATGTCGAAATGATCTTTTGGGACCCTAGCCCAGAGACCAAATTTAAAAATTGTCCAAATTTTTATGTTACAATTTTTTTTTTATGTTAAAACTGTTTTACCTGGTCAAGTTTCTCGATCATAGCTTTTTCCTAGAAATAAGTGTAGTTAAGTACTTTTTGTTGATGTTATAGAAATTAATTTTTCATTCTGGTATTATTCTATATTTCCTTTATGACAAGATTAACCCTAATCTAAATTTCTGTTCACAGGGAGCATTCCAACTGTTATATCAACGGCTTCGATGTGGACACGAAAAGATGTCAAAGAATTTAAGGAATCCATCCGAAAGGAAGGAGGCGACTCCATTATCCGTGTTGGTCATGGCGAGACTGTGACAGTGAGTAGTTCTTGTCAATTTAACTTTATTCCTTCTAAGCCATTATTTATGTTCATACATCAATCTGTTAAAGAAAAAATAAGTTTAAAATTTAACCTAGGACTCCATCTGGACAAACGTCTAACTTGGAATCCTCATACCAGACAGAAACGACAAGAAACAGCTTTCCGACTACTTCAACACTTACTAGACAAACGCTCTAACCTTCCAATCAATTATAAAAGACTCATTTACATGACTATAATAAGGCCTATTTGGACTTACGGAGTTGAGCTATGAGGCTCCACCAAACCTTCAAATTCCTCTCGCATACAATCCTTACAATCCAAAATCTTTCGTAAAATCCTCAATGCTCCTTACTTTGTTACAAATAAAATTATCCATAATGACCTCAATGTTCCTTATGTATCAGATTTGGCCCAATCCAGATATCTGTCCTTCCATAATAAACTTCATAACCATCCCAACCCTCTTGTCTCTAACCTTGCTTCCTATTCGATTCCTGATAACCCTCCGAGGCCTCTGAAAAGAAGATGGCCACGTGATCTTCTAATATAGACATATTATTAGAGTGCTACCAATGGGTAGTTCCTCAACATGTGTTCCATGTCATTATATCCATGTGCGAATTTGCCAGATGTATTTTTTGTATACAGTTGTAAATATCATATAAATAAATAAAATAAGTTTAAAATTTATGGACAGATATTTAACAAAACATTTTAGAAAAAAAAAATAATTGAAGAATTGAATGCTACTTCTGAAAGATATTCTAATGAATTATAACTGATATATGGATATAATGGTTTACCGCCACACAGGATTCAGAATAGGAAGAAGCTCAGGCAGATCTACGGTGGTCGGGGAGGGGAAGAGAAGGAACCAGAGGGAGGCCTTCGGGCTGAATTCCCCAAAAATGGTCAAATATAACCATATCATATTTAAAAAAATCTACGGTGTGTGCTTAAAGACCACACTATAGAAGTGAAAACATCTACACGGCAGACTTAATCATACGAAATATTAATATTTTTTGTTCTATATTCAAAAAGTAATAACATTTATAATATATACAATTATAATTGTGTTTAAATTACTCTACTAAACTTTGCTCTGACTTATCATACTAAGTAAGTATCATACTCTAAAAATGAAACAATAAGTTTATGATAACTATTATCTCAAACTGAACATTCCCTCGCTTACAGTATGCAGGTCTGATTTTTATTTTTTTAGATATTTTAATCCCTATGCAAAAACACTTCAATTAGTCAACTGCAGTCGACTATATCCAAGCATTACACATCGGAAATCTGACGGCTCAATCTAATTCACTCTTCATAATAAAGTGCAAAACGTGCCTAAAGAAGTTTTCACTTCAAAAAAATTATAAAAACTTATCTCTAAAAGTGTTATTGTACATGTAATAACATTTAATAGGACTTGAAGAATCACTTAAACACCATTTCAAATAGGTAATTAATTTCTCTCTTTAGTAGTTATAGTTATATACATTAAAAAAAAGAGAAACCTTCGGACTGAAGACCCCCAAAATTAAATCCAGAGGAACAGATTTTCATCCTAAAATAATTACTCAAAAAATGATGAGAAGTAGGTTAGGATGCACATCTCGTTTGTCCATTTTAAAGAAGTCTATAATTTTATGGACAGAAACTATGGAAGATTATGATCTAGCTGGGATTTTTCAGGTAAAATTAGTTAGATTGACGAAGGTATGTATAAATCAACCATACCATACCCAACCCTATATTTTGAATCATGATGCAAAGAGAAGTATCTGAAGCCTTCAGGGTCCGAGCTGCTCTGTTATAAGAGATGAACTCTTTGCCAATGCTGTTCAGCTTAATTCTGCAGAAGGTGATAAGATTAACAATATACACTAACGGATCCAGGATTTAATTTTGAGGGGGGCTTCATCCAGAAAGATTTTTTTCATATATATGTGACGATAATTAATTTGAAAAAAAAGAGAAAGAAATGAACTACCTGTATGAAATGGTGTTTAAGTGATTCTTGAAATCCTATTAAATATAATCACACGGACAATAATACTTTAAGAGATAGTTTTTAATATTTTTTTTCTATAAAACATGGTTATATTTTATCATTTTTTGGAGGGGGAGGGAGCTTCAGCCTGAAAGTCCCCCTCCTCTTCCCCCCAATAAATCCGCCTGTGACAATATATTCAACATTGTGATAAGAACAAGTGAAAATGGAAGGGTACATGTTTGTATGAATTGGAAAAATTTCTGGGTATATAATGTTAGAGAGACTGGATCTTCTTGTAGTATAAATCCTAAAATCGTGCAGTAAAAGCCCAAAATATGTATAATTGTGTAATTAATTACTAAAAACGTGCGAAATCATCTATTTTATTTAATTTATAACATTAATACATCAAAATCTTATCAAATCTAGTGTTACCCTTCTGAATTAAAATAATGTGTAACAAGAAAAAGAAAACATTGAAGATAAAATTCCACATTGAAATTAACAAATGACAAAAAATATTTTTTATATAATAATATAATACAGCGATAAATTACGATTAATCTAAATCTAGAAGAAAGTGAAATTTAAACAATAATAAGGACTAACACTGAATTATTATCGTTTTCTATAATTTAAAAATGATCAGTAAAAAAATTAGCTAGCATATAATAATAATAATAATACTTTATTTATTCTGGGACGAGTCCCTTTAGAATAATATAGAAAGACATAAATATTGGGCTAAGGAGATTTAGAGATACATAAATAAAAAACAGAGTAATTAAACAGTCATAGTAAAAAAATGAAAAATTATAAGTTACTTTCTAATTTTAATCAGTTAATAATAAAAAAGAAAAAATTTAAAAAAAAAAAAAAAAAAAAGGATGGAGTAAAAGTAATGAAGAACGGACTAATAATTTATATACATATTTATATTAGTATCTATTTACAATTTCATGGGAACTGGATGGATAAGAAATGATTGAACAGGCGGGATTTAAATGTAGGAAGGGTATTGGATTGACGAATGTGAGAGGGGATGGAGTTCCAAAGGGATGAGGATCAGATAATGAAAGATCTGTCGAAAGCAGATTTATGCAATAAGCAGTGTTATCAAAGCTTTCGTCTCTCTAAGGTATTGAAATCCAGAAAAACCTCTATAAATCTCAAATTAAGGATGTAAAATGCTCCGTTAAAGCCATTTCTGATAAACATGGTGTCGTCAGTTCTTAATGGCTAAACTCTGGAGGGGTGATTCTATGCAAAATTTCCAACAAAAAAGTTCATTTCATGCATTGGCCGATTCTGAACAGAAAAGGTGTTAAGACCAATTTTGTGTTGTTTTTTTTTAAGATGGTCACGTTTTCTATTGAGTAAGAAGGAATTGCTCGAAAACTGTTCAAGATAATCAAACTGAAGTACACCATCGTAAAGTAGACAAAATTTTCTTTGAGATAACAGAGATTAAATTTATTAAGGTCAATGGTAAAAGGGACTTTTAGGAAGTATAATACAGCCACTGTACTGCTGCGGTTACAGTACCTATGCACGAGCAGCATATCTTTGCAATCCCAATTCGTGAAATGATTCGCCGTAATGGTAGACTTTGCATTATTTGATTTCCCGGTAGCCTCTTTTATCATTGACCTTAGTAAATTTAATCACTGTTTTCTCTGAGAGAATGTTGTCTAATTTATGTTTGTGTACATAGAATTTAATTATCTTGAACAGTTTTTGAGCAATTCCTTCTTAATCAATAAAAAAGGTGATCACTTTAAGAAGAACACTACCTAGTCCTGTCATAAATATTGTTACAAGGAAGTATATCCAGATTTCAACGGAAAAATTAATTTTTTCAAAAAATCTATTAGAAAATAAAATATATATCTACCTAGTTCTGCCATAAATCCTGTTACAAAAGTTGAACTTTGTTTACATCCTTGGGTATTATTTAGATAATCCTTACCTCTATCAGGTTATTTTCTTTACATGTCAGGATAATAATCCCAATTAGTTTGTATTTTTCTTTCGTTCAGTTAACATGGAGTAGGTTAATAAAGAAAACTGAATAACTGAACAAAATAATCGCCTTACACAAAGTTGAAAAATGTAGGTCAGAGATTTTCAACACTTTGAAACCTTAGGGCATCAGCCGTATGTTCATATACCCCACTATAAATAGATATAATGAGACCCTATCGGTATGTGACAGACCTTGATGGGGTTGTTCCCGCACTGTGAGAATTGCAAATACAATGAGAGCAGTGGCTGCTCAAATCTGAAAAAATCCCATTCGAAAACAACAAATCATGTCTCGGGAAATGGGAATCTCTGTCAGATCAATGTCTCACATTATGAAAAGTGACCTTAGGATGGGTGAATTTTGAAGAATGACAGGAAAAAGGCTAACCAAATTATTCCCTAAAAAAATTAGAGTGGATAGTTGCAAAGTACTGCTTGGCTGTTACACTAATGGTCCTCATCGAAAGATTTTGTTTAGCAATGAAAAAATTTTTACAAGGGAAGAAAAATTTAATCGCCCAAAATGATCGTGTGTACGCACACAGCTCTAAAGAAGTCCAGGAAGTCATCGGAAGAGTGGAAAGAGGTCATCACCCTTCCTCAGTGATGGTTTGGTATGGAGTTTGCTTTGATGCCACTACAGAGCTCCATTTTCATGAAAAAGGAGTTAAAACAGCTGCTAAAAACTATCAAGACGATATTTTGGAACCTTCTGTCAAACCTCTAAATGATACTTTGTTTGTTAGAAGTCATTGGGTTTTCTAGCAGGATTCCGCTCTAGATCACAAGGCCAGATCAACAACTCAGCAGTGGCTGCAAAAGAACATTCCAGAGTTCATATCTGCCTCGGATTGGACCTCAGGAAACCCTGATCTCAACCCACTAGATTATCGGCTTTGGTCCGAACTGGAGAGGATGGCATGCCACAGAGCACACCCTAACTTGGAAAGCCTCAAACAATCTCTGGTCCGAGCAGTTGAGCGCTTTCCTCAAGAAGTGCTTTGTGCTGCTATTGATGACTGGTCACGGAGATTATATGCCTGTGTCAAGACAAAAGGGGAATATTTTGAGTTATTTATTTTTTATTTTTTAACTCTTTAACTTTTGTAGCAGTATTTAAGGTAGAACTATGTAAATTGGCTGTAACTCCTTTTCCATTAGGAATCGGTCCATGCATCAAATCAACTTTTTTGTTGGAAATTTTGTCTAGAATCACTCCCCTCTCCTCCAGTGTTTGTCCATTAAGAACTGAGAGGTCCTGTATATTGCTAGGAGACATGGACACTAACCAGCACCCTAGAAAGAAATATTTGAGAGAAGAATCCTCTACTCGATAACAGGAGCTATCTGATGTGAGAGTATGAAGACATGGAGGAGAAAGACCAATAAATAGCTGCTTACTGAAACTGGTATCCCCAATCTATATCCCAGCAAGGAAATGGGAGGTTTGGACTCAAATAATCAAACAAATTTTATCATTGCTTTATAGAATTAATAAATTAGAATGAAATTTGATACTTCTTCACTAGGATGCCGGGACTGACTGCTATCTGTCAATGTTTTTTAACCTGAACACTGATAATTCCGATAAGGCAGTGATAAGCCTTCTCGTAATTCATATCTTCGTATTATTGTATTATATTCGTATTATTGAAAGTGTAAACAGAAACAAAAACAAATAACAAAAAAAAAACTTTTATTTTAGCCTGTTCGCTTTATTTTAGCCTGTTATATGCTATTTAAAATAGCGAGGAACGGGGGTCCTCTTCTTTGTGAACCCGCCACCACAAAAATTCGCATAAATATGAATCGAGGTGTTGTCTGGCAGTTCCTCTATGTATTTTGTTTCTCCACTTAGCTGTGCCCCATAATCGTTCTATGTGTTTAGTATGAATCACGTCTGGAAGTATCCCAACGTTTTGAAAATATTCTGTAAATAGCCTGTTCTTCTGAAGACGGTCATCTCAGAATGTAACAAGATTCATAATTTGATGAAAATAAACTAAAAAAAAAAAAATGAAAAATTAACACAAATGGACAAAAATAAAGAATTTAATAAGTGAACGTAATAAGGGAATAACTGAAAAATAAACAATGTAATAACTGAAAGGGATAAGAAGAGGGAGGTTACGTGACGTGACATTAGATAACAAAGATATGAAATGAGGTTTCGACCCGGGCCTGCTAATGAAGTAGTACCTGAAATTTTAATAATATTATATTATTCGTTATTAATATTGATATCACTGATAAATTATTTCTTTCAAGGTGCGAGTGCCAACGAATGATGAAGGGACATGCTTATTTTGGGAATTTGCCACAGATCATTATGACATCGGTTTTGGTATATATTTTGAATGGACCAAATCGCCTACAAATCAAGTGTCTGTTCACGTATCAGAGAGTGAAGATGAAGAGGACTACAACAACGATGATGACGATGACGATGAAGATGATGATGGTAAGTTGAAATTAAATTTTTTTCTTTCCTCCCCTTTCATTAAAATCTAAGAAAATTTGACCAACTCAATTGAAGTTGTTATCAGATTTAAAATAACGGGTTCTGCATGGTTAATCATGAATGATTGTCTTAAGGCTCTTATTGTGGACTTCAATCACTAAGGTTCCCTTCACATATTAGTTTGACTGACATAATTTTAACTTAGTCGAGATTGAGGAAACAACCTTGTCCTCGCACTTCACTAATATTATGAACGATTTGCCTAGCACTGCATCCTGTTACCATTGGATTTTTTTGTTTGGGGTGACATTAAACAAAAGGTCTATGCAAGTCCGGTCAATGACCTTAATTCCTTACGAAGGATAATTGAATCTTGTGAAACAATAACACATATCCAGTGCCGTTCTGCCACTGCTGCTGTTGAAGAGAGATGCCGAGCCTGTCTTAATGCTCAAGGAAATCACTTTGTAAATCATTTAGTATGTATGTTAATGTTTACATTTAATTAATAAAGTAGTTAGAACAAATAATTAGGTTTTATTTATTTCATATAACGTAAATAATGCATAATAACGAAAATCTTTAGGTGTTAATATCTCCTAAACAAAGCGTTTGTGGACATACCTTCATATGAATTTTTTTTCTTGTTTTGAGGTCCTTAGTTCATTTTTGCACTTTGGCCACTTACCTCTGAATCATCCTGTATACAAAAATTTCATGTCGTTCTACCAGCCCCAAACCAAATTTAAAAAAGAAAATGGAGGAGTTTTATTGTACAATAATCAGAATGCAAATAAGAATAACGTGACAAAGAAAGGAATAGTTGCAACTTGTAAATGCTGTCAAGGAAATAAAATTCACTATCTGAGCTGAAAAACAAACTTTTATAAATCTGTCATCCAATGGAAATTAACACGACTCTGAAAATTTGATAATAACCTGTAAAGTAAGATGTCATGTGAAAAAAAGTTGGGGCTCCTATGCCTTTAGTTATTTGAATAAAAAAATAGTTGGCCAACCTACCACTTATGCTAACCAGCCCCGATCTCTAATTTGTAATCATTTTTGCGTCATCGCAATAACTTCATTTAAAGTTTTCTCATTACTTCATCTATTGGATCATTTCATACTAAAAGTCAATTTTTATTATTTCAGAAATTGAAAGGGGGATTAGTGGACTTTCGTAGTTTACTACGTATATGTTTACAGATTACAATAAGCCATTATTAATCCTCTCTTTTTTGATAATATTTAGTATGCCATTGCACATTGTTTAGTATTCCATCAAATATGACCATGGAAAAACAAGATTTTCGAGTAATTTTTTTTTGTTTATTTGTTTAAACTTTGGCACTCAGAAACCCAATCTGCAAAAAACATTATCGCGGCGTTCGGAAAATGGTGTTATAATAAACAGACCATTTGCCGGTGGTTGGAAAAAATTATTGGTTTCCGTTCAGTGATCAATTGACTGAATAATTCATTTCTCCTTCTTACCTAGAGGTGAAAACATCGAATATCTTACTGCAGTGATATCGACTAAATAAATCAAAAACTTGTCAAAAAAACATACTTATATTGATTAATCAAAAGGAGCCTATACTCTTACACGATAACGCTAGATCTGATGTTTCATGATAAACAGTGAAGAAATTAAGCGAGCCATGTTACGAAATCCTTATTCACCAGAATTATCTCCAACAGATTTTCATCTGTTCAGAAATTTGGGCAACTTCCTTAAAAAATAATTCTCAATTCAAAAACACATTTTCTGACTTAAATTCTTCACAAAACCTTGAATTTTTCAGTTCTGGGATTGATAAAACATGTTAGGGAAAATGAGGGTATATATTTCGAATACAAATTGTAGTAGACACCCCCCTGTATTTACTCCTTTAGTTGACATTGTGTGAGGGAATGAGAAGGAATATATAGGAATGTGAGGTTGCACGATGAATTGTACAGTGGACAAATTATTCATTGAAAAGTCTCTTATCGATAAATAATCGATGAAGAAGGAAGAAGGTTGGAGGTACCAAAAGAACCCAGCAGGTAGCAACAGCTGGAGAGAGGAGAGGGCATTCTAGGCTGGGACAGGTAGAAAGGAGGTTGTCAGAAGAGAGGAGGACGGACTTGAGGCGGAACACATACCTGGGAAGAGAGTCTACTACAAGATTTATAAGATCAAGTCTATAGTTATAACACTTTAATAGAGTCAATTTATTACAGTTGTAGAAATAAATTATTTTGTTATACAGCAGTGAAAAGTCATTTATTTATTTAGTTGTCCTATATGCCTCACGATTGAAGAATAACAAACCGTGGTGAGTCAATTCATTCAAAGTGTATTTACTAAGTCCCACATTTCATATATTGTAATGTCTACATATATGAATATTGGCGCGAAAGTGGTAACAGCACGAACTACTGAGAGGAAGTGCGTGCTGATGTTGGGGAAAGCAAGCCTCATATAACGTCAGAAGGTGACCAGCCAGCAAGTTGAGAAGATCTAAAAGGAATACTAGCCGGTTCGAGTGTAGATGGAGGCCACTAGTGGTGATTACTTAGTGTTGGAAGAAAGAACTAGCGGAAATTAATTCAATGGTACCGAAAACCGAACATTCATAAATAAGAATAGTTTATTTCACAGACAGGCGTAAACAATAGGGTAAGTGCCAACAATGCCATTTATGTTGACAGAGGGATAGAGCCACAAAGTTTAGACCGAGACAATCAATGGTTTTGAAAACAATTATAAATATTATATGTATAATTAGTGTAGTTAGTAATTAGTAAATTAGTGTAGCTTACAGTTATTTAATTTAGAATGAGTGTTTAGTTGTCAGAACCCAACCTGAAAATTTATATCTATGTGTGAGAAATAAATGGTATATTGAAAAAGAAACTCATTGTTTGATTTATGAGGGAAGGAGAACATTACAACATATATTCTTATTGTTTCTTCTCACTCAATGTCACAAAAGGTATTAGATTTCCGAATTCCCAACAACAGTTAAACACCCTCAAAAAAGTCTATATCCATTGCCGGGGATTTGTTTTAATATTCACGAGTGTAAATAACCTAGTTTCCTGATATATAAAAGCGGAAGGCTATTTGCCTATTCCCGCCAAAACAATATTATTAACAATTAACTTTCAGTAGGTTATTTACAAAATGTTGTGGTTACATTAAGTTGTTTTACTAAATAACCTTTCCTAATGAAAACTGACATTTCATATGAAACTATCTAACATATAATTAATTAATTTTCAGAGCTGGCCGCAAGATACAGAGGAGACGTGGAAAGAGGAGGCCCGGGGCCCGACCCAAACAGACCTGCCTTGTCCGTCATCATTCCTGTCTACAGGCGGGACTGCCAGGACAGGGTCTTCGCGGGGTCGCACGCCTATCCCGGCACTGGCGTCTATTTGCTGAAGTTCGACAATTCCTATTCGCTCTGGAGGTCGAAAACATTATATTATAGGGTATATTATACTCGGTAATTTGTCGACTTTCCTATATATATAATAGTTATATATTTGTTGTCAATTTTTAAGTCTGACACCCGGGACCCAATCATGTAAGATGGATATTAAGAGTGGCATTATGTTTTTTGTTTTGTTTTTTTAAAAAATTATTTATTTATATTTAGTTTTATCTTGTTAATGTTAATGTCAATCATAATTTATATTATAAATTGAAGTATAAATAAAATTGTAATAATTATAAAAACTTAAATTTGATTGCACATTGCTTTACTCAGTGCTGCTGTCAGTCGTAATGCCATAAAAAAAGAAAAAGAAAAAAAATGAGATTATTAGAAATTTATTTTATGATGAAGGAATTATATTTTTTTGTATTTTTTTTTCCTCACAATTAATTCATTTTTTTTAAAAATTGAAATGGGTCTTTAAAAGATAAACTAGCATTTATAGTTAATTATAAATCTGTTAGAAAATAAAAGATGTTGTTGAGTATATGATTTTTAAATGTTAAGTGTACAGTAAAGTAGTATGTATAACTATATACAATTACACATAAACCACTTTAGCGGTGCAATTAAATATTAATAATTTTATTTGTATATTTTTTTCTCATTCTTTAGTGAAAATTCCCTCCAACATTTTATATATAAATGAGCTAAATGAAAAATATTTATCATTATTATGTTTTCTTTAGCTTTCTTTTCTTTTTTGTTTTACATTCTCGATCCATGTTTTGCTTTAATTTATTTAGAATAATGAAGCAGCCATAAAGTCCTGCAAACCTAATATCATGGATCTATATTATTATTATTATTTAATTTTTTATGTAAGGTCCGTTTCCGTCATTATTGTTTTATCAATTTTTCTATTATTAATAGATAATTTATATCAGTACATTTATTGCATTAATTTCATGAGAAATATATTAAGTATTGAAAAGTAGTACTGACAAACTTATTGTAGGTTGGAAAACAATTAAACAAATGAAAAGTAAATAAGAAATCATATTAAGTTGAAAGTAACTAATGGCTATACGATACTAAGATATACCTTTAAGGTATACGTTTCGCCCCGAAGTTCAGCCCTTCATCAGGGCTAAGAAAAGAACCAGATAGCAATAGGTCTAAGAAACAATAAAAATAGAATAATAAAGAATTAAAATTAAAAAAAGGTGAAGGGTATAGACTAAAAAATGTAGGTAGAAAAACTAAAGTAAAATGAAATGATGTAGATAGAGTGAACATTAAAGTAAAATAAAATAGGTAGAATAATAACAGTAACAGAGAACTGAGAAATAAATAATAATAACGGTAACAAAGCACGGACCAGTGAAATAGACATAATCAAAATAAGGTAACTTAAGAAATGAAAAAAGGTAATCTTAGAATAAAGTGTAGAACAGAAAAAAGAAATGTGAAGTTATGTAAGGAAATAATGAATAAAAAGAAAATTAAGATATTGTAAAATCTATCAAAAATACTGACTGCGTATAAGAGAATAGAAAGTTAAAATAAAGTAAAAAAATATGAATGAGCAAATGTATCAATACATAAAAAATAGAGTGACGGGAAGGAGAAAACTAAGATAAGAAAAATAAATGCAAAAAAATAAACGTTTAGTTTTCTCCTTTTATTCCTCCTCCCTGCCACTATATTTTCCATATCTCCATTTCTATTTTGTTTATATAATGATACATTTTCTCACTCATCTTTTTTTACTTTATTTTAACTTTCTATTCTCTTATACGTAGTCAGTATTTGTGATAGAGTTTACAATGTCTTAATTTTCTTTTCATATCTATTATTTCCTTATATAACTTCATATTTCTTTTATCTGTTTTACACTTTATTACAAGAAAACCATTTTTCATTTCTAACGTTACCTTATTTTGATTATGTTTATTTCATTGGTCCGTGCTTTGTTACCGTTATTATTTATTTCTTAGTTCTCTGTTACCGTTATTATTTATTTCTTAGTTCTCTGTTACTGTTATTATTCTACCTACAATATTTTACTTTAATGTTCACTCTATCTATTTCATTTTACTTTAGTTTTTCTACCTACATTTTTTTTGTCTATACCTTTCACCTTTTTTTATTTTAATTCTATATTATTCAGTGTTTATAGTTTCTTATACCTATTGTTATCCGGTTCTTTTTTTAGCTCTGATAAAGTCCTGAAATTCGGGCCGAAACGTCTGCGATTGTGAAAATAAATGCAATTATTTATTTTTACTATTTTATTTTGTCTGATCGCCTCAACCGTCCTCTTCTAAAATCTGTTATTTCTTTCTCCGATAGCATATATGCAATGTTAGAATTATGCAAATGATAAATATATTTGCATTTTGATTGGTTTGACAGATAAATTTGCTCATATGAGTTCAATATTTAAATGCAATTTATAATTCATTGTTAGAGATGAACAGCCACTTATTTCCGAAATGAACCCTACTATGATGGAATTATTTTTTAAAAAAATAATTCATCATAAGATTCGTTAACCTTTTTTTGAATGTAAATTGATTTTAATATGCCATTATTGTAAACAAAAAAACAATTTTTTTACAATCTTAATAACTTTTTTTCCTTTGAATCCAACACCTTTTTTTTTTTCATACCAAACATCAATCAACCCTTTTTGGTCCGAAAACTTTAAAGTTTAATTTATTCGGAAAGGGGCCCTATTTAACTTCCAGTGGTTTGAAGATAAATAGATTTTTACCAATGACAGTCTCTCTTTAATTTATATGATTTTATTTTACATCTTAAACACAGAGAAGCTTTTGCTGTACCTGAACTATCTTGATTTCTATAATTAGAACACATCAATATCATTATGGAATACTTGATGGTTGACTGTGGTATATTATTGAGTAAGAAGATGGTCCGGGGTGGCAGTCATAAATAGACTAAAATAGTACCAAACTATTTTATTTAAAGCCAACGTTAATTCGACCAGACTTTGCAGGTCTTCTTCTTACTCAACAATATCATTAATAATTCATACATGTTACATACTCTATAATTGTCATGCAACTATTATCGTATCATGCCATAACTGTTTTCAGTAAGTTCAATGAGTTAATAAGTTTCCGCTGTTTGTTATCTAGAGAATTTTGTGCATGTGTGCATCTGGCAACACTGAAACCAATCCAAGAGATAGTCCTCTGTATTCGGGTTATCAGTTTATTTTAAATTCTCAAATTGTATTACAATGTTGTTCCTATCTCTTCAAACATGAAGAATTTCATACCCTCGAAATTGTTTTTGCAGGGAAATTTTACTATACTATTTTTTCATTAGAAAACTGCAGCTGAAGAGCATAGAATTCTTGTTGGAACTTACAGCAATCATGCACTATCAGAAAGAACATGCAGAAAATGGTTTCAGCACTTTAAAAACAATGATTTCGATCTCGGAGGTGATGACAGTCTAGCCCCTCCTCCCCATAAAAAAGTTGCTTCAGCTCCGAAACTATCACAGGAGATTGTTATAGACTGCAGGAATTGTTATTGATGCGTTTGTGCCAAGCCCTGAAACAAAAGTGGTCCCTATTCAAGCAAAGACACGATAAGGGAATTTTACTGTATGATAAAGCTCAATATCATGTTGCAAACCCGGTTAAACCTTATTTGGAAACGCTGAAATGAGAAGTTCTATTCCACCTGCCGTATTCACCAAAAATTGCTGCTTTCGACTACCTCTTGTTTCGAACGCTGACTCACGGCTCTGCAGTGCTTCTATTCTTAAAGTGAAACTAAAAAGTGGGTAATGACTGGATTGCCACAAAAAACGTTTCTTTTTTTTGCAACATGGAATCCGTGTGTTACCTGAAAGATGAAATAAAGTAGTGCCTAGCGATGCACAATACTTAGAATGACCGTTTTTTATAAATAAAGTTTTGATTTTTATCAAGAAACGCCAGAAAATTATTCACACTCTATATATGCGAATAATGTCGCTTTTTCCTTTCAAGATAGTGGCCGAAAAACCTGCGTTGCTATAGACTGTGACGCCGAAACGAATGTATCGATTGCAATGAAACTTGGCTAAATTCTTCTTCTTGATGCCTTTTAAATTTATTTATATACATATTTCAACAAAAAGAAGCTGAAAAATTACTACTGATGAAAAAAAGGAATGTTTAGACTAATAATTGAAATCACCTTTTGTAAATTTGTAATGTTTTTTTTTTTTATTTATTGCTATATATACGGATTCTAAAGTTTTGAGCTTTGATCAGGAGTTTAATTAATGGAGTATATTAATATTGTAAAAATCAATTTCATCTCTATAATTTTTTATTTGGTTGAATAAGGCATGGTTTTTTTTTTTTTTTTTAATTTGGTTTAGCTTAATAAATCTTATTGAGACTGGCATTGGTAAAAATCCTGATCTTGAAAGAATATAAAATTGTATAGTATTAATTAATCAACATTCAGTGTTACTTAATTAATATTAAATTATTGATTTTTGGAAATATGCTATGCATGCTACAATACAAATAAAGAGTTTCTTTCAATAATATTAATACAAAATATAGTTTTTTGCGTTTTCTGAAAATTTGTCAATGATTCATTCATATTTTACTTTACAAATTAATGGCTCAGATGATCATTTAATATTAAAATTTTACCCAATCGCATTACATAGTTATTATTCGAACCTTAAATTATTTTAATATACTCTTTTATTTTAAATAAAATGAGTTACCTATAAATGTTCCATTTTTAAATATTTAATGTTCACTTGTTTACATGACCACATTATTTGTTAATCATTTAAAGTTGAGATATAAAAAGATAAATAAATATTACTTTATTCTTTATGTGACTATGATTGAGTATTTTTTGTCATATGTTTAAGGTTCTGACTCATTTTAATACTCCATAATAGTCCATTGATGTTTTATAAACTTTATTGTAAAACAATCAAGATATCGTTAGTTATATCTTTGTTAGTTTATTCACAGAAATGTCTTCCTCTCTTTGAGAATAATAAAACAATAATAATAAA